AGTGGGCAAAGGGGATAGACACAAGTGCAGTGGGGCATACCAAGCATGCTGAAGTAAACAGCCACTTGTCTTTCAGTTCTGATGTGTTTTTTTTGTGTACAAGAACTCAGATTGTGCTGGCAGATAAGAACCAGTTTGCTCATTTGGATTACTTATTAAAAAATGTAACAGCATTGTCACTTACTTGTTCAGGAGAAATAATTTAAGTGAAGTATTTTATTTAACTTGTTTTTGTTTTAATAGTTGGCTTTCCCGCACATTCTTGAATTCTTTCAGTACTTCAATAGAGGTTTAATCTCGGAGCTAAACTCTTATGATCTTGGCTCATTATATATCTCTAGTTAAAGGGACACTCCAAGCATCATAACCAATACAATGTATTGTACCTGGAATATATTTCAGGTGAGTGGCACAAAGAAACTCAAAGGAAATTTGGCACTGCCAATCCTGATAGCCTGCTAAATATTATTTTCCCATAATGAGGATGTGAAATATATTCGTTATTTCATTGAGGAGAGGCTCAGGTGCCAGGGAGACCCACTTTTTTGTCAAACTGCTAGAAATCTGTAAAATATTCATTGGTAGCATCCTTGAACTATATGGTGCTTGAATTGTTCCTTTACGACACTGTTTGAATGTGAATGGATTAATTCAATACAATGTTAAAAGGTTATGTTGAAAAATTCATGTTTGATGTGCAATACTTTAAAATAAAACATTTATTCACTAAACCACAAAAGACTTTATGATTTTTCTTGTTCTAGTTAAAACTAAAAATAAAAGTTTGTTTTTAACCCAATTTTTACATTGTCTGCTTCATTATTCATGTAGGAATCAGTAATCAGTATACATGTATTTATATATTTAAATGTGGCTCTTTCACCTCACCAGAAATTGTAGATCTAACCTAGATCCCCTCGTCCTACCTGCCATTGATAAAACAATGTTGCAGGGGTTCTTACTTCCAGTTTCAAGTTGAAAAAGAATGCTCCCTTGCTCCCACATCAACACTTCTTTCAGGCGCTTCGGCCAAGTTCTCCAAGCACAGCAAACTCAATTCGGCCCTCTCATGAGTCAGGTGATATAACTCAGAGGTAGGCCGTCAGTGTACGAACAGTCCAGGAAACAAAATCGAAGTAACCGCAAGAGCCGTCACGGTGGCTCATTTCAAAATTCCTGCATTTTCTCGAACAGCTAACAGTGAGTATGCTTTCATTACTCGTTTCATTTCATGGTCATTTTAGGGTATGCATACGACTCTTGTTTGGTTAATTCAGGGAAGCATTGGCCCTCGATCAGCAGCTCCTACATGTTAAAGTATTCATTTGTTCAGCCTCACAAGCCTCTGTATTTCAGCTGTTTGGCCAATCCATACATTGCATTTAACTTTGTTCGGCTCAAATTCGGCCGATTATAATGTGAAAAAATGAACTGTTTGCTGTGCTACTTACAGAACATCAGGTCCCTCTAGTGGTCTTTTATGTTATAGCATGTCATATATCTTCTCTGTTATAGGTATAATTTCAGCTCGTATTCATTTACTAATAATAAACACAGGTTTATTATTCTGTGTGTTTAGAGTCTGTCAAGCATTATCAGAGCTGACATATTGTTAATTATTGTACTGTAGATTATCTGTCACATCAGGCTACATTTATTTTACACTAAATTGAAGTCAAGTTTTAAATTGCAAGGGGGGAATTTTACTGGCCTAGTTTCACTACGTTTCCTTCATGGTGCACATTACTTGTTTCTTTCACAGGTTACAGTCTTATACATTAAAATTACATATGGGAAGAAGGATCAGGCACCCACTAGAGAGGCCCTGATTCAACAAATCACCACGAATATGGTATATGAAAAGGAACTGCATAGGCAAAGCTCCTCCAACAAATATGCCAACCTGGCGCATGCGAAATGGGAGATGGGACAGAGCAAGGAGGGAGAGTGACACAAAGAGGGAGAGGTGATGGCATACACCTGCGCATAAAAACCCACGTGTACATAGTTCTTTAGTTTACCGTTTAGATCTGGTTAAAATGGGGGAGCCAAAGTGCAGGACCAAGATACATAGAAAGCTCAAAGGAGAGTATAGGCTGGAAATAACATGACGGCCGGGATATGGCCAATGAGATCAAGAGCTTTACAACTATACGGGATATGCATGTGAGCTAAAGGATTTGTTTAGATACTCCCCAATCCTCTTGACCCTAAAATTAGAAATTCAACCGAGTGAGGTGACAGGTGATTTACTAAATAAAGCCTTAGTGTGTCTATCTTTACTGGAGATAGTCACAAGAACCTTCGTGACCAGGATCAATGATTTGGCTTTAGTGCCTCTTAGCGACACATTTCCTCCAAGCTATACATGTTAAGATCCTTTAACCCCTTAAGGACACATGACGTGTGACATGTCATGATTCCCTTTTATTCCAGAAGTTTGGTCCTTAAGGGGTTAAACTTTCCTTGTAAGTTTTGTCCTGCAATCCATTAACTAGTTAAGTAGCTCTTCTCTGAACTATTTCCAAAGTATCAACACCTCCCCTATATTGGTATAAATCAGTTAAAATCCAGGGACCTGTTTTGGTAAAAATGATAAATATGCATTAAAACATAAAAAAGATAAATATGCATTAAAACAAAAACAACAACACAAATCCTCCTTGATTTACTTTGGGCTATACTACTGCTGCTACCCTAGAGCCAGCATGGAGGCTTACCTAGGGCTACATGGCACAAAGGGAGATTTATTATGGCACCCCCCATGCCACACTGTAAAAAAAATCATGTGGGTCTCTTTCTTCAACAACCTCGTCCCCCTTTTGCAAATGCACATACATTCATACACACACACAAACATTTTTGTAAACTAGATACATTTGTTTATTATATACATAAACTCATAATTACAACCACATACTTTATATTTTAATAAATAACTAAATAGTTTTTTTTTTGTTATTTTTGGAACACTAAGGTCCACCCAGCCTCCCTCACCAGGAGTGCTGAAGTTGAACCTTATCAGTGAGGTCTAGTGGGCTGCTACTGGGATTAGTCTATCTCATTGATACTCTTTACTGTTTACGGGGCTGGGGTGACATCATATCCTGGCTCCAGCTACAATGCAGGGTGTGCCCAGCAGCTGCCTTAGTGCCAGTACCACAAACACCCACAGCACAGCCGCAGAGCAGGAATCTGTTGTGTGGCACCCCCACAAGCAAGGTACCAGTAAACTGGTTGCATGCTCTGCCAACCAGAGTGGAGCCTCCACCTTAGTGTGTCACTTGTCTAGCACCATTGGCATGACTTGATAAACGCTCAGAGAAGAGTCGTAACGTTGTTTACTTCCTTGTTTCAAATAAAAAGACTCTCTTTTAGAAGAAAGAGTTGTGCATGGAAATTTATTTTCTTCCATTTGATGACTTCAGGGAATGGCCCCTCCCTTTCTGGAGCACCCTGCAGGAAGTATTCCCCCTTTTTTTAGTGTGTGCATTACACTCTTGTGTTTTTTGCAAACAGCTTTATTAATAAGGTAGTTTGCTTTGGAGGTTCAGGGAAAGAGGAACAATGCCTATTGTGTTGGTGTTCTGGATTCGGAAGGCCCCAACCGCCTCTGGGCATGTATCCAGGAACATTATTGCGGTCACTCTGGACATTGCCGTCAAAACGGCTGTTCTGGCCTGCTCCAAGAACAACCCCACTATCAATGTGCACAACTGCCATATCAAAGTTTTTGATGATTTACTTTTTCCTGTATTGAGGAGAGGCACAGTATCAGGCTCCTATCCTGACAACTAAGTTTATGTTAGTCTATTCCTGTTTCTTTAATAACTAGTTCCAGCTATGCACCCACTAGCGGCCTCCCTAACCACTAACCTTGGATTTCACCTTCGTCATCCTCACCTGCCTGGGCCAATCAAGAAGTTGCAAAAGGCTACACCCAACTTACCACAGGGCCTTTACAATGAAGTTGATGCTCATCCTTAAAGACTTCAGTTCTTGGCTCCTGTAAAAGTTCCTGTGGACCTACACTTCTATCCTGCTAACCAGCTTTATACTAATCTGTTCCAAACCAGCCTAACCTACACTTCTATCCTGCTAACCAGCTTTATACCAACCTGTTCCGAACCTGCCTAACCTACACTTATATCCTGCTAACCAGCTTTATACGAACCTGTTCAAAACCAGCCCATCCTACACTTTTATCCTGCCAACCAGCTTTATACCGACCTGCTCCAAACCAGCCTAACCTACACTTCTACTCTGCTTTATCCTGCCAACCAGATTTATACCAACCTGCATAACATCCATCTGGACTTTGCCTCTATTATTGCAAGGTGTTCTTTCCATACTTTATCAGTACTCCTTCCAAGAGGGGACTGATTCACTAAAGTCCTATTTTCCTGAAACCTATTTCCGTTCTGTCCTGTTGTTTTTTACTTGTCTCTCTATAGTCAACCTATACTTTCTCTTATTATCTACCTACATTCTGTTTATTACCTATATATGGCATATTGCCTAAACCTTTGTTTCTCTTTTCCCTCTCTCTATAATTTCATTTATAAGATATCCTGCTGTTTTCTAATATGTCCAAACTCCCCAATAAAGCCTCTGATGATAACACTGGCGAAAGTCTCTTACCTGACCTGTTCAAGATCATGACACACAGATTCATGCTGGTCACGAGGCTCCAGAGGGAACACCGCATCCGGTACTGGTAGGAAGCAGTGGGAAGCCTGATGGTGCCCCGGGGAGATGCTATACTGACCCTGTCAGCTGAAGAGTGGGGCAGGTTCAATACACTTTTAGCATCCAGCCAAATAAACCCCTATCTGTTTCATATTAACCAAAAGTCAAGATCTAAATGCCACAAAATATTCACAGGGGAGATGCATTTACAATGTTGCCCTCCCTTGGATGGAAAACTGTAGTGTGGTTATTTTTGTTTTTTTTGGACCGTGCTTTATGTTAATAGAAAAAAATAAACATACACAGATAAATAAACATACTTCTATTTATTTGAAAGCAAGTTATTTTATTTATTTGTTAATATTTACTATTACATCTTGGAAGTTGATTAACAAACTATTAGAAAGTTCAATACACTGTAAAATCTAACCATGCATGACAGGTAAAGCAATTTAATCTAAAAAAAGAACCATCAGCTGTACTCTTAGAATTTGGCTCAAGTCTTCAGTGGACCTATTACCTAAAAACATTTTTTGTTTGATCTAGAAAACAAAAACCTTCTTCTATGTCAGCAATAAAGGACCACTATAGGCACCCAGACCACTTCAGCTTAATGAAGTGGTCTGGGTGCCTGGTCCAGCTAGGTTTAACCCTTTTTGCTGTAAACATGTTTACATTATGGTTAATCCAGCCTCTAGTGGCTGTCTCATTGAACGAGGTAAGTTTAACCCCTTCCTTCCCCCCAGAGCCCCACCCTCAGGGCACTATAGTGCCAGGAAAACGAGTATGTTTTCCTGGCACTATAGTGGTCCTTTAAGATCCAGCTGTTTTTTTGCAAGCTAAATAATGCTTGCACTTCTATATGGCGTGTTTATTTTGGTAGAGGATAATGATCTTGTTACTTTTTTTGCAAATCAGGTTTCATATGTCAAAAGGTGCCAGCATCAGGATAGTACAGAAGATTGGTCACATGCACACTGTCTATACTATATACTTAAACAGTGTGGAAAAATGGTTGAAATATTACACAAGTTAATCATACTTTCTTGATTAATACAAATAATGTTAAATAGGAACTGTCACATCCTCAATTTAGCACAACGTAACAGCTAAGTAAAAGTTAGCCATAAGTTGTGTTAAAATGATTATCAATTCTTTCTAGCTTATTTAATTTTTATTTACACATTTTCCCTGACAGTATATAAATGAGTTAACTCCTGCAATGTCTTAATCACAGGGCAATGAAGATAAGGAAGTGACAGTTCTGCTTTATTGTGATTAGTGCCCATGAGAATTAAATCTACTAATATTTATAATCAACATGTTATAGCTGCCAACTACTTGTTTAATATCTGATTGCTTACATATTCATAAAACGCAAAGACAAAATAATGACAGTACAGATGTTGTTAGATTTGGGTAGATTAAGATTAATGATTAATGTAGTATAAGTATAATTCATTATAATAAATGTTACATTTTTGGTCAAATTAGGCTTTTAACCAATGTATTAAAACATCACTTCATACAATAGAGTAAAAATACAGATCTTAACTATATAAAAAAAATTTTGAGTACAATATTTATAGACAACACATATAACAATTATTAAAGGTACTAACAGGTCCGATTATACGAATGGTGGTCAAAGGCAATATACCACTGCAGGTATCTTGCACTAATTTGACAGTCTACTATTCTCCTGGTCTATTAGGTAATCTAACCTGGATGAGACATGTCAGCCAATGTAGTCGTTGGACTGCACTCCTCTTCTATTGTTTGCATTTGGAGGATAACATGAGAAAATTTAAGAACCTCTAAAGATCACTGTTGCACCTTATTAAAACCGTCTGGGACATTTCGGTGGGAGGCTAAAAGGGATGCTTCAAACTCCTAAAGTACTTTAACAAGCTGAAATGCTAAATGTGTGAAGTGTTCCCTCTCTTTTTTTTTCTTAATTTAAAAAAAAAAGTGCAGATTTCAATAGAAATTGGTAATTTTATATATTAACCATGTTACACTCCTAGCAGTCATTCAGGTCCTGCCTGGTTTGTTTAGCTCAGTGGAGCTGAATTCAAGAAGCAGCAATTGCCCAGGTGTCTTGCAAGGACTTCTCACTAAGTTGCATTGGGAAGTTTGTGATTGGACAGCCACAGAAAGTCTGGCTGGGTGTGAAGGGGAGGGTTTCCAAGTCTGGCTGGGCATAAAGAGGAGATCTGCAGCTTTTTTGCAAGCTGTCTTTAGATATACCCCATTAAAAATATAAAATTAGATGCATGTTTTTATTGTGGTTATATCTACTAAACAGTGATTTCTATTTTGTTTTGGATTTGGGCAGTGGAGAGTCCATTTAGGTATATTGCATTTCTTAAGCTGGAACCCTGTTTATCCCTGGTCTGTTAGTTGTCTTCGATGAATTGTCATTGTATCCCATTTTATAGTATAAGCTTATTTGAACTAGTTATCCCTAGGTGTTTCTAGAAACAATGAATATGTTTGGAAGACAAATAAAAATAAAGCTGCACAGAAATGCAGTTAGACATCAATGTCATTATAGGATTAAATATCATTTGAAATAAGCAGGCGGTTTTTAAATCACAAACTATCAATACATTAAAATACAACACATTCAATTATATTTCTGCTTTGATGCCTGATAAATGAATGTGCTGTGGGGATACAGAGGTTCTGCTCTGTTCTGTTGTTCTCTATTCACTAAACTGTGAGTTTTTGATGAAGTGCAAATGTAATGGCAAAATACAAGGCTAAAGTAGCCAAGTTGTATTCATAAATTAGGGGATTATTTTTAGTTATCCTTCAAATCAATGTTTAGCAAATGAATACTATTCCCTTTAGATAGCATTAAAAAATAACAAATAGGAGGACTTATTTAAACACCTGACAGTTCCTTCTAGAAATATGGAATTTAATATAAAACTTCAACTTTTTTAGGGCTCCCAGCTGTCTGGCATTTGCCAGGGCAGTCCCTATTTTAGCTTCCAGTCCCCCTGCATCCGGGTGTATAAAGGAACTGTTCACAGGCAGGACAGTGCGAGCACATCATTACACATATTCACACTATGCAGCGGGCAGTAGGACCATGCAGAGAGCTCTTCAGCAGCGCTCGCTGCATTGTCTTGTATGTAGGGGGTTGGCATGCTTGCTTGACTTGCAGGCAGCTCTGTCCATTTTGGGTGTCAGCAGTGGCGCAAGTTGCATCACTACAATGTTCACTTGAAGTTCCACCAACTTGTCCAGATTTCATACCTCTCAATGCTGGGAGGTACGATACTTTTAGGCCACAACTGGTTTACGTTTTTTTAACAGTATTGTATTTTTTAAGTTTATTTGCTAATAGTTTATTTTCCTGTGAAAGTTCATTAGTGGCTGTATAATGAGATGTTAGAAATCGAACTTGGTGGAAAAAAAACACAGTACTGACTGTTATTAGATAATCTTTGTTTCCTCTGCCAGCATTTTTGTGTACATAGCCCCATCAATGTTGGGGTAAATAATGTCATTTATAAAATGTGAACTTTCATCGTTCTTTCATGACGGCAGTAATAATACATTCTTGAAGTTAACCTCGGTTTAGGGTGTCACTACGTGGCAATAACATCCCTTTACATTACACTAATCTGAAGTAAAGCACTGCTAGATAACCTCTAGCGGTGGCAATGTTTTTCTGCACTCTAGCGGTGGCAATGTTTTCCATGATAGTTAGCCAAATGGCTAGCTTGTGAAAAATGGCGTCCATAGCAGCTGGAGTGCCATAAATTAGCCACCAAATGTCTAGAAGGTATATACATTAAAACATCATATTATTGTGACATACCCACAGTACTGTCAGTCTATCGTTGCTATCAAAGTTGGACTGTGTACTAATGCAGAAGTGTAGCTTTAGCATTTTCAGTGGGGCTTGAGACTGACAGAGAGAGCCCTGTTTTTATGTCAATTACTACAGATGGAGACCACACGTAACACAATAACCATAACAATGAAGTGTATCTCATGCTGCTTAGACTGTCCATTTATCAAATTTAGGCTAGAATACTTAAAGTTAGGGATTTTATTCAGATTCTATTCTATTATTTTGACTTAATTTTTACATCTTGACTCACAACTCACTGTTTAGAGAAGGACGCCCTTAAATTATTTATTCACAAAAATCTGCAATTTGATGCAAGTTTGGCAGCTCAGTTTTCTGGCACTTGTGTTAACAGGTCAGCTTTGCTTTGTTGTAAGCGGCCCTTTTAGTTTAGCATGTAGAAAAGAACAAATCCACATGTTCTCTTATAAGATTTTGATGATTAACAAAAAAGGTAAGGCACACATTAGACTTGTACACAATCAAATGCCTGTTAATCTATGGACAAATTAGTCAATTCGTTGATAGGCAGATATGAAGAAATCAGTTTGTTCATCCATAGATTGACAGGCATTTGACATATACCAACTGAACATGAGATTTTTTTTTTTACTTTATCAAATACATGATTTAACAGTATAATTTCACAATAATGCAATATGCATATACAAGGGAAGTCAGTAGTATAATGCTTGTCAGTGACAGATTTCTATCATTTTTGTTGACAAATAAAAAACAAAATTAAAACATTGCAAACATACCCTTTTTCAGTCACCTTAAAATGTAATGCTTCTTAATATTTACAGTACTCTAATTACTGGCACAAAGAAAGTGGATATACCTCTTGATTAGCTTACTATTTAGAATGCCCTGAGCTATACCATGTGTTGATGTATATGGAAGTACAAAGCCCATTTATGAGGCCACCCTGCACTAGTACTCCAAACAACCACTGTAGGTTAATATGTTGCTTTCTCAAGTGTCCTAGGATCTCTCCCATCTCTCCCTGGCTAACAGAACTGGTAATTATTGCCTTTAATGAAGGGCTCGTTCGCCTCACATTTTATGTCCAGACATTCATTTTCTTCATGCATCTGAGTGATGTTGGTGTAATCCTTGAAGAAAATATAAAGAAAATATTATCTTTTAAAAATGGGAATTTCAGTACACAGAATTATACTTTAGGATGTAAGTGTTTGTCATTCCCTTTACCGACACACAAAATAAATAATTTTTTAATCTTTCTTCCTATGATACGAATGTGACGGACGATGGAGTGCTGTACCAACGACATATTCTACAGCACTACTTCGTCTGTATTTTTGTCCATGACATCTTGTGAAAAATATTTTATGAGCTAAAAATATTTATCTACTTCTTATCATTAAGATGCTACAATTTCCTGTACCATGTCATGACTTAACGTGTAACGTTTACTGATTTACAATAAACACCTTGAATAAAAATAAATAAATAATGTTTAGTGTCCAAAGCGTGTGCAATGCATTGCAATATGTTGCAAATAGTCATACAAATTGCTCTATTTGGGACAATATTTTCAGCTATTGTGTATTCACAGTCATATAGGCCTATGCATTGTTCATGCATGCTTGGTTATTCTGTGGCTGGCACTACAGACAAGACTAACTTTGTTTCTCATAAAAAACATTCCATTATATAACCATAACATTAAAATATGAGTGTGGATCCCCAAAACTAAAAAGAATATGGTTATATTTGCCCAAAATGGGAAAATGAAGGCCTTCAGTGACCTCCATGGCCTTTCCTCCATACCCTGTGTGACAGAATCATAACCGGTTATAAAATAAATTATTTCCCCTACACGTTCCTCTACCCTTTGGCTTATGGGTGGTGGATGATAAGTAATGATGGGGTAGGGCAGGGATAGGCAACCTTCGGCACTGCAGCTGTTTTGGATTACACCTCCCATGATGCTTTGCCAGCCTTATGGCTGTAAGAGCATTGTGGGAGATGTAGTCCACAACATCTGGAGTGCCGAGTCCAAAGACTAGACTCCTACCCTGGATTTACTATCCTTCCCCAACATACCCTGGTAAATGAGTTTCTAAGGAGACAGCCATTTAGCTGTATAAAACACTCTCTGGTGTCAAGGTTTTCTGGGACCAACTGTTTTACCTTCATTTTATTTTAATGTAATTTAGCATTACTTCATGTATTTGCTATATGTATGTGTTTACACTCTGCACCACCGGAAGGTTAATGGTTTGAGTCAAATAATTTTATTATTTGTTCACAGAGGGCACGGTGTGTGTGTTTGTGGGGCGGAGTATGTGAATTAGCCTTTAGTGACAGGCGCAGTATGGCAGATACCATCTCTGCTGATATGCTGCTGCCCTGTACAGGGCCAGATTAAGAGCCCAGTGGGCCTGGTGCTGACAATTATGACGGGCCTAATTACAGAATCATATCGACCGAAAACAGTAAAAAACTCCCAAGCATCATGTATCTGAAGGAGATGGTGCTGGAGAGAAAGAAAACAGCAGCTATAAGAAAACACATACCCTAGGCTAATTTCTCTAATTTATGTTTTCATCTTTCAAGTAAATCCATAACCCCTAACAGCAGTGTCCAGTCAAGCAGGAAGTCAATGGGCATGGTAAAAGGGTGTGCCACTGACACAAATCACGTAACCTGCCAAAAGGGGCGAACATGCCCAAAAAGAGGACATGTCTGCTCGAAGAATTAGAAGGCCAGCCTGGCATGAATGCATGTCAGGCTGCCTGCCAATCATGCAGCTGGCCAACTAAGGGCATACTATGAAAGACAGCACCCTGAGCTTGGCATAAATGCATCTAATGATGCGCTCACTCAACGCTTTCTAAGGACTGTCCCCTAGCACTCGCTGGTCCACTTGTCTCCTCACCTTCTTACTAGCAGGCAAAAGCTCCTGGTATATGGTCTGGGACAGAGAAAAGCTGTATGTAGTGAGTGCAGAAGAAAGGGAACATGCCACAGTGTTAGAGAGACCAAAGTCAGCATTACCTTAAAGGATCACTATAGGGTCAGGAACACAAACATGAATTCATGACCCTATAGTGTTAACACCACCATCTAGTCTCCCTGGGCCCCTCATGCCTCCATAAATATAGCAAAATCCTACTATATTCAAGCCTGAAGCTGTAACTCTGCAAGCTGTTAGACTCATAAAAACAAGCAGTCTGCTGACATCATTAGAAGTGGTGGCCTGATCCAATCACAGTGCTTCCCCATAGGATTGGCTGAGACTGACAAAGAGGCAGATCAGGGTCAGAGCCAGCATGATTCAAACACAGCCCTGGCCAATCAGCATCTCCTCATATAGATGAATTTAATTAATGAATCTCTATGAGGAAAGTTCAGTGTCTGCATGCAGAGGGAGGAGACACTGAATGTTTGGATGCATTTTAGGCAGCCATGACACAGGAAGGATCTCTAACAGTCATCTAAGGAGTGGCCAGTGAAGTTATCACTAGGATGTAATGTAAACACAGCATTTTCTCTGAAAAGACCGTGCTTACAGCAAAAAGCCTGAAGGTAATGATTCTACTCACCAGAACAAATTCAATAAGCTGTAGTTGTTCTGGTGACTATAGTGTCCCTTTAACTATATTCATTGTCAGCCAGTCCACACAAGTTTTGTTCCCATACATCCCTCTTAAGTTTCCATACTTAAGTAAGAGTATGTGAAAAGTAGTTAGGGTTGCCACCTTTCTTGGAAAAACATACCGGCCTTACTAATTTGCATAATTAAATATGTGTGGGTGACATCACATGATATAAATCACAAGGAGTGACATAAGAGAAAATGCTGTAAAATCACCAAAAAACTACTTAGTTTAAATCTGCTGTATAGATGGATTCCTCCCAGTGCCCCCATGTCTCCCAGTGCCCTCATGACTCAGTGCCCCATGTGTCGATTACTCCAGGTCTCAGTGTTCCTATGTATCAGTGTTTCAGTGCCCCATGTCTCCCAGTGTCCCCTAGTGTCGTGTCCCCAGGTCTCCCAGTGATCCTATGTATCAGTGTCTCAATGGCCCATGTCTCCCTGTGTCCCCATGTATCCCAGGGTCCCCATGTCACTAGGACACTAGGAAGACGGGGAGACCTGGAGACACGGGGAGACCTAGGGACACGGAGCCACCAGTGACACTGGGAGACTAGGGGACTCAGGCTGGGACACATGGGGACAATGGGAAAATAGGGGACACTTGAAGACATTGGGACACAGACACCAGGGACAAAGATACTAGAGACACTGGCTGGGGGACATGGGGACATTGAGACATGGGGGCACTGGGAGACATGGGGACACTGAGAGACCTATGGACACGGAGCCACCAGTGACACTGGGAGACTAGGGGACTCAGGCTGGGACACATGGGGACAATGGGAAAATAGGGGACACTTGAAGACATTGGGACACAGACACCAGGGACAAAGATACTAGAGACACTGGCTGGGGGACATGGGGACATTGAGACATGGAGGCACTAGGAGACATGGGGAGAGTGAGACACTGGCAGACTGGGGGCACTGGGAGACTAGGGGGCACTGGGAGACTAGGGGGCACTGAGACACCAGGGACACTGGCTGGGAGACATGGGGACACTGTGTCCCCATGTGTCTGTCCATAATGTCTCCCAATGTCCCTTAGTGTCTCAGTGTCTGCCATAATGTCTCCCAATGTCCCTTAGTGTCTCATTGTCCCCATGTCTCCTTGCAGCTTTCCCCCCATCCCTTACTTCCCTGAGGTGTAGGCTGTTTCTGCAGGGCGGGAGTTGCTGTTTGGACTCTCTGTAGCTGCACCCCTGCAGATCACTGAGTACTTCCTATCCCTGCCTGTCTCCACACACAGCGACCCCTACTGGCCAGTGCTGGTATTGCAGCGTAATCTCCATTTATACTGAGAAAAATACCAGCATTTATATTGCCAGTATCACTGCAATATTGGCACCAGCCAGGCAGCCTCAAATACTGGCTGTGCCAATAAAATAAAAGTCAGGTGGAATCCCTAAGAGTAGTGTGTGGAAAAAAAAATAAATGTTAAAAAAAAAAATTTTTTTTTTTTTTTTAAATCAATGGGCCTATTCCATGGGCCTGGGCCTGGAGCTGCAGCTCCATCAGCCCCTATGTTAATCCGGCCCTGGCCCTGTACTTATTCTAGGAGTTAGGAGGTGATGTCACTTCAGCCTTGGCATCATTCCAGACCTGCATGGAGCAGGGTAGTAAATGCACAGTGATCCTAGAAACCACAGACAACATAAATCAATTATGTGCATGTGAGTGTATATGATTGTGTGCATCTTTCCTAATGATAAAGAATTGCAGGCAGTGCAGAGTGACAAATAAACCTACAGTTTTGGTGCCAAGGTACACCTCTGTCCCCAAGGTCTCTGTGTTTGGAGGGGAATATTTTTCTCAGATGTTAAATCTACTGTAAGGAGCCTGGCTACACATTCATTCTATGTTATGATGAAGGATGACAGAATCTCTTTAAAGTATAATGTAGGGTATCCGAGCAATATATCATTCAGGATGTTTGCCAGGAACAGTATCACTTTATTTAAGTCAGGCAATGGAAGGTACATTAATGGTCGAGTGGCAGCTCTGTCCACCACCGTCCATTTATCATTCTAAGTTTTTAGACTAGACATGGGGGGGCATATAGTGTGCAGGATTTATGGATGCTCCATGATCTTACCTGCTCTTTTATATTTCCCATTTGCATGTTGATGAGGTCACTTATCTGGTTAAAGGTTGGTCGCCGAGTTGGTTCGAGGTCCCAGCAGGTCTTCATGATGCGATATCTGAAATATGAACACCATTTCAGCAAGGCTATAGGCTATTATTGACATTAAAGATATAAAAAAAAATAACAATAAAAGGTGTGCTAAGAAAAAAAACGTGCTTTAATAGATAGTCTAAACAAATATTGAAATAACTGCCACACACTTGAGTGTTTTACCCCAATAAAAACAATCCACACAATAAAACCAAATAAGTGAAAAAAGTGGAGCAGTAATAATGTGTATATTACCCACACCAAGCATAATAAACTTAAAGGATCACTATAGGGTCAGGAACACAAACAGGTATTCCTGACCGTATAGTGCAAAACCCACCATTAAGGTGGCTTGCATCCCCCCTGCCTCCTCCTTACCTCCCTTAAAAGCATGAAAAACTCATCTAATTTTCAGCGCCGTGTGGGTCCGCCGACACTGGCCCTCCCACCTTGGTGACATCATCAGAATTGCCGATTTTTAGCCAATCCAATGCTTTCCCATGGGGAAAAGCCTCATGCAGAGCGTGCAGACACTGAACAGCAAAGCTGCCTACTATTCAGCACCTCCTGTGGACATCTGTGGACATCTGAGGAGGTATACCTAGGGTCAATGTAAACATTGCTTTTATTCTGAAAAGGCAGTGTTTGCATGAAACTTTCTGCATATAATGATTACACTCCCCAGAACTACATTAAGCTGTAGTTGTTCTGGTGACCACAGTGTCTCTTTAAATATACTTATGTATTCAGCAGATATCTCCACAAACCATAAAACAGAGTCAGTACATGAAATAAAGAAAAATACTGCTCCACTTTTTTCACTCATTTGACAGAATTGACATTAGCCATTCCGGGACTAGTTTTAAGTTGAAATCTGTCTTACATTTCCAGGGGAGCATAGTCGGGACAATCCATTTTATAGCCATCCTTCACCATCTTGTAAAACTTTTGATTCACCAGAATGCCAGGATATGGGCTCCTGCCTAAAATGGATTAGTGAAAACAGGCCATTGTTAGTATTTGTTTAGGAATCGTTAGCATATCTCAGAGTGATCAATGTAAGAAATATTTTTATTTTTTTTATCATCCATTGCATATACTGGATATCCTTGAGCCTTGCTTATCTCTCCCCCTACCATTGAATCTTATGCAGTATTTCTCCCTTTCCTCTATCCTTTGTTATGAATGTCTTCAATAACAAGTACAAATTGCACTAGCAAAATAAATTTTGTCCAACTTTTGGCAAGCTAATCAATCCCATCCAAATACAAATATTGCTAAGTGTAACATCCACTATAGGGATATGACCAATGAGGGAAAAATAGTCTGTGAAATGCCCAGAGTACAGTACCAGGAGTATACTGTCACCATAACCACTACAGCAGGCTGCATGGTGATTAAAGTGCCCCTTTTGTATCAACAACCGGTAGATGTTTGTGGCTAAAAATACAGACCGATTTCCAAGGTCCATCCCTGTGTTGATAATCTATATGCAGCTCACATCTGCCTCCACTCATACTGACCACCACTTAGTGTTTATTTTTGTGCATAATACACATACATTAAGAAAAAGAATCCTTATCCAATTAATTGCCATAGCACCAGGATCATTTAAAAGGCTCGACCATGGGCACTTGACCTGAAATTGTCTGAGCAAGTTGCACTTGGTGGTTGCATACACCTAATTTTTTTTATTATAAGTTGAGAATTAGTATTCATTAATTTGTTTTTTCCTCTTTACACCTAGTTAAGGCCGGTATAATTTTTAGTCAGCTAGTTTTTACCATCTAGCATAAACATTGGGTGGTAAGTAGAGCTTAGCATCTCCTATTAATTTCTTTGGCACACATTAAAACCTTTGCTAGTTACCAATGGTTACATTTGAAAAAAAAATTGGATGGAAAAGAAACTGGCATCACCAACAAAACCAATAGGCATTTTAGTGATTACTCAATTGTTAAGTGATTGCTTCAAGCATATAATTAATTTATTATTTGGTTCACAAGGTTCTTCTTCACACCAGTTATCTTGACTAATATTCATCAATACATTTATTTCTCTTATCAACCACCATTGCTTTAACTTGTTCATGACTCTTTACACCCACCTAACATCACTTAATCCTTACTCCTACCATTTCATATTCTTCCCATACCATCACCTACACCATTTTAATTGCATACCAAGTGAAAAGATCTCCCACAGCAGAATTCCATAGGACCAGACATCACTCTGCACAGTGTAAATACAGTCGAATATGCTTTCTGGTGCCATCCATTTCACTGGCAGGCGAGCCTAAATTGTGGGATGCAAAGAACTTAAATGGATTTGAAGGAAAACAATCACTATTAGTAGTTATTCTTTCTCTAAGCATGCAGTGCCACCTAGAATACGTTCTAGCAGTAGTGAGTCCTGTAGTAGTGAGGTTTTTTAAAATTATTTCACAACAGGTGTAATGCTAGGACTGTCATAATAAAACTGAATTTGCTTACGTTGTTCCTCTGAAGACAAAATCTGTTATTTCCACTTTATCATGAAAACATGTTGACTCTTTATGTTTATCTGATATAAACTATTGAATGTTTTTGTTGACTATTTAAACTCGAATTTAAGAGATACTATAGGCAGCCAGGCCACTTCATGTCAGGATCCTCAGATACAGGCCAGTATGTAATGAGAAGAGAGGACAAGGAATAGGATATAGTGTAGTATCTTAACTACTAATTGGAGAAAACGAAAAGGAAATGCACTTACAGTTTGTGTAGCTGACAATTACCTCAAATTAAATGCACATGGGTGGTATTATTACTACCTATGAATATGTGGTTGGTTTAATGGGTGGTAGTCCAAAGGGTATGTAAAAGAAGCTGAGAATGACTCCAATATAGAGTAGTATTTCTGATGTGCTAAATGGAGAAAATATTTACATAAGTGCACACTCACATTTTTTGGATTCTACTAATGGCTGCTAGAGCATAGCGTGGAATGGAATGATCACAACTCTTGGATAAATATTTTTGGAATCCTCACCGTGGTGTTATGTGGACAAAAATAATATATAGTGCGCACTTTCGAGGTTAAAAATAATAAAATAGTAGGAAATGTACTCATGATGCAGAGCAAAATAATGGTTTTGCTTAATCCACAAGGCGTAGGTGGTATATTCCCCACCAAGAAAAATTATGCCCAAACATCAGGATAAAACCAAACGTTCCAGGAGCAATACAAATTCACAAATTGTATTGAAGATAAATTGTAAAATAAAATAAAACAGAGTAAAATATCACCCTAATATGTTCCAGCTATTAGGTTTTATCAAAGTGATGCAGGTTATGGGAGCCCTTTTTCTTTCTAATTTGATTCCTCTCTTCAGCTATAAACGTTTTTTTATTTCATTTTTTTTTTCATGTTTAATACTTGTCAGTCACATGACTATGACACCATGTGACCATTATTTTAAAATCCATATTCTGCAATTTAAATCATTATTTTGCTCTGTACCAGTGAGTTCATTTCCTACTATGTTAGCTTCTTTTTTTCTTTTCAATCTGGCAATTTGTATTGTTTTTCTTGAAAAGTCAACAGGGAATAGGGTACAGAAGAGAAGTGGGGAGGGGGAAAATAATAATGAAAATAATAATAACAAGTACCAGTGGGTAAATAGTAACAGAATTCCAGGTTGAACATTGACATTTGGACGAGTGTACAATCATGACATCATAACGTTTACAAAGTTTTTCTATCTGGGATGTACCCATTTCAATGTGTTCCATGCGTCCCATGTTGCCAGAGCATTCTGGTAGGGAGGGCAGATGTTGCTGAAACATTGCTCATACATACGCTGTTTATCCAGCTCTAAGTGTAAAGTCAATACAGAGGACGTGTGGTGGGATTTCCAAGCTTGCGCTAGTATTAAGCATTGAGCCATCAGAATAACATAGTACATCAGTTTTTGTTTGTGTTTGGGCAATTAAAGTGGTAGGTGCAGTAGCAGATAAGTGAGAGGGTAGTGGGGCAGCGTACATTCGGTAAATTCCTATAGAAGTCATGTACAGAGTTCCAAAATGGTTTAATTAATGTGCATTTCCACCATAAGTGTAGTACCAAGCCGTTTACCAAATAGCATCTCCAGCATGTCGGAGGACTATTAGGGAATAGTTTGTGGATTCTTTCTGCCAGCATGTACCACCGGTATAACATTTTCTGCTGTTGTTCCAGAAGGGTAGGGGATTTGATGAGTTTTTTTGGAGTATTAAAAATCTTATCCCACTGTCTCTGTAAAATTTTGCAATTCAGGTCACTAGCCCACTGTCGTACAGGCATAGATTTTGGGAACAGCAAGTAGTCCAAGAGCATTTTATAACCCCTGGTATTTTATCATGTTTAACCTATACAGTGAGCACTATATTTTATTTTTGTTTTATCCACATAACAGCATGATGAGGATTCCAACCATAAATATCCAAGAGTGGGGATCATTCAACTTCATGCTGTTCACTAGGTGCCACCAGAAGGCTCCAAAAAATATACTTACCCTTTGGACTAACCCCCATTGGACCAAGATACCAACCACATATCCATAGGTGGGGATAATAACGCCCAGGCGCATTTAATTCAAGATAATTGTCAGCTACACACACTGTAAGTGCCTTTCATTTTCTCTAATCATATCCTATTCCTTGTTTTTTCTTTTTGTTACATATTGACCTGTATCTGAGGATTTTTTTCAAGGCTCTGCTTTCCTTTTATTGCATTCATTTCATTCACGACTAGAAAGGAGAAACTCTGATATAGGTTGTTCAAGCTGCCTCCCTCACAATACAAGCACTAAAAACCCATCATCCCCTATTGCCTTAGTCTGCAGATGGTATAGTGCTTTATCTGTAGTACCAATGCTTCCTTATCAGTGGCCTTAAAATAGCCTGTTAAGATATGAATTTCCACTTCCAAGTCTGCCGAGATTAAATGTACACATATCTCTTAAGAGGATATCACCCCTAGTTTCTGGGATATTACAGGCTTTGACTGGAACAGATATTGAGGGTAAGACTAAACTCTGACTGGATTCATTAATATTATGCCACACTCGCATTCAATGTGATGAGTGTGTCTCATGCTTGTGCTCAAGAGAAGAATGTCTTTATCTCAAGTTCGCTCTGTGGGATTGTTTGAAGGATCTTCCCTCATAAACCTTGTTGATCGTACTATTGCAGTAGGATTTGGCCCATAAAAAAAAGCATTTTGAGCTGTTGTCTGATGAACATCACTCGAAGCTCATGACCACATAGGTTGCCACAATCAGGTAATATGGGTATCAAGGCAAACTTAATACTTATATACTTGTTAAGTGTATCATCCAAACATGTTTAGATACTACAGAGATATTGTACACATAATGCCCTCATACTGTAAGTACAATTACCCAATTAAAACCAGGAATCTGAGGGCATTGCAGGCTACATAGAAGAACTATAGTGTGCTTAGCGTTCATCCTTCCTCCTATTCATTTACTATTTCCGAGATTTCTGAATGATCCGCAGTAGAAGATCATATTGTTTTATTCACAGGTTCCATGGCTGTTTTAAGATAAACTGTAAACAAATCAAATACATATTCTAGGAATGCTAGCTTAGCATTTTTCTGAAATGTGAAACTCCCTTTTAATTTCTTTACAATTTCTGTCTATATCAATATATTCATGGGTGTTTCATTAATATTATTGGGGCAGTCTGTTTGCAATTGAGCCACATTTTGTTTTATAGTTCTATATTACTTGCTGGACTGTGGGCTGAACGTTGTCAGCCTACCCTTGTGTAAATCTGACTTCAGAATTACTAAAATAAGTTAAAGTTTAAAAAAAAAAAAAAAAAGTGTTTTGATTTTATTACATTTTAATGCTGGTAAAAAGCACAATAACAACAGATGATTCTGCAAAAAAAAAAAAAAAGAAAATAGCATTTAGCTGACAGCACACTTATATGCAAAATAGAAGATTAAAAGGCAACACATATCTGATGAGTCTACAAATACATTGTGTTTGTGTATGTATCTTTTTAATAACCATAAAGTTCTTATACTCAGTCAGCACAAAGCCTACTTCTCTATTTATGGGAAAAACAACAAAACTTTTGCTTGACATTTTTCATAACATTGTTAAAGCATTGTTATGAATTTTAAATAATCTGTTCTGTAACTCAAACATTATTGTTCCATGTACTTTGCGGAATAATAAATGATGTGTGATTATCTATTATATATGGAGAACCCCTATTGAGCTATTAGTTTTTGGATGTGTGGCAAAATGAACAAACATTTTGGTTTTTATCCATTTTGTTGGAAAACAAATAAAAAATTACCATATAACAAACAACAGATAGGATGGATAAATGACTGTATTTTGTTCAACGATATTCATTTGTTTGCATTACACCCCCAATCACCAAGCCCTGAGTGAGGGGGGAATGTTTGCTAAACAACAATCAGTGGCTGCGCGCTGTAACAAAAAAAATAAACTTGAGATTGGCCAGCTGGTGGGGGCATCAATTTAATGAACGAGGGTTAACACACTATGGTGGGCCTATTGATTAAATAAATAAAGTGGTGGAGATATAGTGTCTCCCCCATCTCCCCACCTGTCGCCAGTGGGTGACAGCTATAATTAGAATGAACAGGGGGGACAAAGTGTCTTCCCTGTCCCCCAACCGTGGGAATTCCTCATCAAAGGAGAGTAATAATAATAATAATAATAATAATAATAATAATGAAGGGGGGACCTTTCAAAATAAACCAAAAGGAAAAAAAAATTCTGGAACAAAAGACGAACCGGACTGAATATTCTTTAAGTGCACATGTCCATCAGAATGTGAGCTTCTAACTAAACAGTGAGCTGCAAAATGTAAGCCAAAATAATAACAATAGATTCTATTAGTGATCCATTTTTTTAAACCTACTTTTATCTGAGCACTGTTTTACTGAATAAATCCCCAGTGCTCCTGTGATTATATAAATTAAATAATTAACAGACTACAAAAATACTTAGTTGAAAAAGAAAACATGTCTAAGTACAGCTTTGAACAGAAAACCAGCAAAGGCTACAGCTTAATGTAAAGGTTTTGGTGTAAACATACTGTCCTTGAAATTTTTATATTTGCCTCTAACAACCCCTCTAGTGGCTGTCACTTAGACAACCACTAGAGTTGTTTTCTATTATTGCCCTGCAATCTTTGCATTACAAATTTTCATTGCCTTCACAGTCTGCACGCCACAGATCCCCATGGAGATGCATTGGTACTATGCATCTCTATCAGGAAATGCTGATTGGTGCAGAGCGTGATTGCCATACATGTAGTAACACTGCAAAGTTTTCTACGGAGAAGCATCGGATTGGCAGAGATCAGTAATGCCTGGGCAGGAGCTGTGGCCATTGCCAGACCTGCTCAGGTAAGTAGAGCATCTTCATTTAATGGTTGCAGGGGGCCTTAAATCTAGATCAGGAAGGAGTATGTCTAACTTTAGAAATGTATGTTTGTATTTCTATGTTAGAGTGCTCATTTAATATATTTTATAAATACAGCTAAGTGGCTGACTCAACCACCAGACTGAATATGACATGAATTAAGTGATGAAGTTGTAAAATCTTATATTCATGTTATGCAAAATAAATGTTTTCAAAAAAATTGAATACTTACATTGCCTTTAACGACGTAGTTCGAATCATTTTCAATGTCTCTGGCCAGGCCAAAGTCACAAATCTTAGCAGTACGTCCATCAGTAACCAACACATTCCTGGCTGCAACATCTCGATGAATACACTAGACACAGAGTAACATAATGTCAACAAAAGGACAACATTGTGTATCTTCTGCACTAAACAGCATTCACACATGAAAGGATAACTCACATTCTTTTCAGCTAAGAAGGCCATTCCCTGTGCTACTTGTAATGAAAAATTCAAAAGGTCATGAAGATCCAACGGTAAGTGATCATCTGTGTCATCTTCTTCAGTGTCAGTGGTACCTTTGGTAAAAGTAAGCCAATTGTTAAGATCTTACACAAGTTTACATTTCCATTTTCAGGAAATTGATTTTTTTTGAGGTTTGGTGTCCTATCTTCCTAAAAATTAATAGAAATCATTTACAGTTCATCTCCCTTTGTTGAGATAGCTCAGTGGGCTAAAGAAACTGTTCAACCCTTGGGGGTCGCAGGTTCAAATCCCAGCAGGGATGACTCAGCCCTTCATCCTTCCAAGGTAGATAAAACGAGTACTATTAAATTAGGTAATAGTAACATCCCCGGGATGCTGGGCAAAAGTAACATCCCCAGTACGCACTTGGTAACCGGAGTAATCTGAATTTACCTTTCCTGGTTACATACTTTGTTCTTATTATTTCCACAGTAGAAACAAAATAACTGTATGTAAAGACATATGGAAAAAAAGGAGACAGAACACTATGAAAGATAGACATCTCTGTATCTCTGTAACACCATACTTCCATCATATTTACAATGGAAGACCTAAAGATCTTGTATAAAAAGTATAAAGTGGTTTATCAACATGCTATATGGATCCCAATAAGGGGGAGAGTTTGGCAGAGTTAGGCATTAAGGGATTTGGAATTTAGGGTTACAGCATCCCCTGGAGCTACTATCATAATCAGTGGCACAGTATTAGGCTACTGGCATATTTATAGAGAGGAGTGTGTGCTTAACCACACAGAACCAGAGGACTTGTGACTTAGCATTACATTATTAACCATACATTAAATTACAAGAGGAAAGGAAGGGACAGGAGTTGGTTACTAAGTCCCATCTACAGCAGGATAAAGGAGTTAGAAATGTTATGTATGCTAATAGTTTAGGACATATAACATTTATTTTAGCAGCTCATAGATGTTCAGATTAAGACAGTAATTTTTACATCATGTTATCTCCTTGCATTGAAGAGTTTAGCCATATATTTTTTTTCCTAATTGATTAGTTTTAAGACTGACATCAGCATAGTTCTGGCAGATCAAACTCTAGAAATGTCAAGACGGTGAATGTCCGGTAGAATCTCTTTCAAAACACTAATTCCTGAGTAAGTAACATACCTTGAACTACATTGTTGTTGGATGCTGGCTTCATTTCAAGGTAACTGTCTTTGTCACTATGAGGAGAAATAAAGCACTATATTGTATTATATATGAATTGTTTATTGGGATTTAGAATAACGTATTGTATCATTGTCATAACACAGAAGAAAGAGGCTATACTCAGAAATCCCCTAGTTTTCACTACAACCGCTTTATTAGATATGCAAAACATGAGGAAACTTGGGGCCACACAGCTACATTGTGGCTCAATAAATTGGCACAAGTACCTTCCCATGTATTTTTCCTCCATAGACATATTTTTGTAGTCACTGTTGGTGTGTAGAGCAGCAAACATTCTGTTCATGGACTCTGCCTTTCGTCTCAAGAAGTTCAACAAGTCCCCATGCTGACAGTACTCCGTAATGACCAGAATTGGACCTATCATACAACAAAAATGCACAAGAAAGATAATTTATTTAATTACCACTAACTATTTTGTTTTTATTTGTGATATTAGATAGATACAGATCTTACTGTGAAATATACAGTTGCCTTGGTTTTCTTTGTGATATGTTCCACTTTCAATGACAAATTAGTACAATTCTGTACTGTAATGTTACTATTGTAATAATCTGCTTTTTCTTGCTCTGGGATTCTTAGCACTCAGAGAAGACGGACAGTTGTAGAACACAGGGCCGTGGAGAAAATTATAATATTAAAATACTTGCTATTCCTAAATATTGTATTGTTCAGATATATCTTATTGGAACTTGCTACATAAAAATCCAAATAAATTGTGATATAAGAGGACAGTTATTTCTGAAGGCAAATGTGAGAAATTGTGGTATACAGTTTTAATGAGTTTTAGCAAGTTCTGTGTTCTTAATTAGACCTCGAATAGCATCTCAGTATGTAATAGTCGCTTAAATGCGAATAGACAACAAATGTGTTTTGGCTCACTTGTGCTATCACTTTCTGCTGCTTATAAGACCGATCTCTTCAATCATTAGTCTGCCCTGCTTGATAGACATGTTTAGTCCTTTCATAGTCTTCATCAGTATATTACAAATGGTATTCATATCAGAGTCTTGTTTTCTGGTTTTCTGGAGCTAATATTTGTCATTTATAGCTGAGCTGTAATCTACAGGAACCTTTGTGATGACACCATGTACAGTAGCATTACTGGAGCCAAAAAAGTGAAACCCTTCAGGTTGGGATGAAGGGAGGGACAGATTTTTGGGGCTCATGGAGTGAAACTGCTTAAAAAAAAAAGTTACCATAAATATAAGAAAAAAGAAACCCTAATTGTATACATTACGTGTAGGCTATATGGGTGCCTGGAGTACTTCTGTAATACAGCTGATATGGCCAAGGATTACACAGTTGCTATGGAACTGCAATTCCCAGAGTTCTCTGCCAGCATCCTAGTCTTTAATTAGTAATACTATTAGCAAACATATCTAACATTCCATACTCTTACCTCCATGAGTGCATGCTCCCAATAAGTTGACAATATTTTGATGGTTTCCCAAGTGACTCAGAATTTTCAGTTCGGACATCAAAGCCTCGACCTCATCTCTGTGTGCACTGGCTAAAAATGGTGTAAAAAAGAAATATAAGACCATTCGTCAATCCTTTTAATGTGACTAAATTGACAATATTCTATTTGCAAATTTATCAAAACCACCTGATTCTCAAATATTCTATATGGTGAAGAGCAATTGTTTCCTAAATTACCCCCAAAATAACCACAGTAGGATGTGAAAAGTGCAATGAGTTATTGCTTCCACAAACAGTTCTGGCATAATAATTGATTTACTGATTACCAGAGAGTTATAGGTTAGCTCCCACATAGAGCCCTTCTCATCTTGAGTGATAATTGTACAGATTTTCTCTGGTTATTCAACTCTCTGTTCTCCTCTAGAGCTGACATTATATTATGGCACTTATAACAGTTTTGTAAGGCATGTTGAGAGTGAGCATGGTTTGTAAGTACTCAGAGTACAACTCGTCTGCTTCCTCTCTAAACAATGAGGAGGATTAACAGAACAATTGGTAGTGTGGAACACTCAATCAATAGTTTGTCCATTGTTCCACAGCTTCATTTATAATAAAATAAATTGTTCTATGAAAATAGGAAATTACAAAACAAAAGATAAATCTAAATATATTTTGTTGATAAGTGTGTAATTTGTGTAATTCAACAATACATAAATTATTGTGTGTCAGTATTTGAATGTCAATGCATATGGGTGTCAGGGTTTCACTGCGGTTTTAAACAGCAACCCTTCCTTACTCTGTGTCTGAGCTCTTCAGCTACTTTTAACGATCAGCTCCTTCATTAATGTTGCCATGGTTACTCACCTGGTTGTTAGTAGCCAGTCCTATTTAAGCAGCTAGTCCCGTACCTCCTTGCCCTTGTGTGGTTTCCTGTTTCCCAGAAGACTTCCTATTTCCTGTGTATTCCTGGTTCCGGACTTATGCCCTGGTTCCTTACTCCACTGCTCTCCGTTCTCCTGATACCGGTTCGTCTGACCGGTTCGCTTTGGTGCCTGACCCCTGCTTGCCTCCTGGACTTTGCTTTTGTTTTTTTTCATTTTTTGCTATTTTTTAATGAAGGTATTTTGCATCTACGTTCTGTCTGTGTCTGGTTCCTGGTCCCTACCAATGGATTAGTGAATGTATGTCTGTGAGTGTATGAATGAGTCAGTGTCTGTGAGTCAGTGTCTGTGTGTCAGCGTACGTGTGTGCATGGGTTAGTGTCTGTGTTTTAGTATGTTAGTGTATGGGTCAATGTTTGTATCTGTTTGGGACCCATCATCTTTAAGGGAAAAATATCCCTACACCATGGCCTTGTATTCTAAAGATATATCACCTGGCCATGGGGGTTACTTACGTTTCAGCATCTTTACAGCCACTCTGAGGGCTGAATCATCTTTTCCCATTCCAAATGCCGTGGCTTCCATGACCTTTCCAAATGCACCTGCTCCCAGTGTTTTTCCTGCATAGACAAAAGCATAAATCAACCTTTAGAAATAACAAATAAAAGTGACACTCAAGACTAAAAATTACCTCACCATGTAAGGTTATGCACAAAGCCCGGAATTGACAATTTAAGTCAACTTGGACACACTTCAAACTTAGGTGAGTTTCGGGTCTTGGGGGCTCTACCTTATGCTCACTTAAGGTTTAAGACATAGCTCTGGGTTGACTCAGTTCACTTTGTCAACAATATTTTTTCAACCACATTGTATAACACAGTACATGAAATACTCTAACTTTTGATATGTTAATTATTAGTTTGATAAATACCAATGTCATATATAAATAAAATGCACAGAGTTAATATTCCACAAATATTCATAAAAATAAATGTAAAAAAAAGAACCAAAATGTTGGCATGATTTTGTGTGCCAGTTACTAGTAAATAAAAAGAAAAATCGATATGTTTAAATTGGTTATTGAGTGGAAGTGGAATGATTGAAAGCTTAGGTTTATATTTGAGTTGAGTTTACATTTTGTTTAATCAGTTACTGCAAGAATTATCATGGTACGGTTTGATTATTTTTTCTTTATCACAATATCATTAGAAATACTGTGGTAAACCAGAGGCAGCTCTCTAATTAGGCGATTTAGGCAGCCGCCTAAGACCTCACGCTGATTGGGGCCTCGCGACCGCGGAAATCGCCTTAGAGCAGAGTGACATGTCGGGTCTTCGGTTTCTGACAGGAGGGGGCCCAGTGGCTTGCCCTTTATGCCGCCGGGTGTGAGGCCCCTCCAGTCAGTCTGCGCTGATCGAGAGCTGCCCAGCACTACAGTCTGTCTGCAGCTCCGCCGGGCACAGAGTTGCAGACTGAACTGTTTTGCGATCTCCAGTGTATCAGAGCATTGCCGCGTGCTACCACGGCAAAGCTTTCATATTTTTGGAGACCATGAGACTTACCATGTGGTCTGCAGCTCTGCACCTGGCAGAGCTGCAGACCAAAGAACCTGCCTGCCGGACCACCAAGGACCGAGACCCTGGACCACCAGGGAATAGTTGAAGGAAAAAAAGGTATTTATGAGCCCCCCACAACCTGTCACCCTCTCTCAGCCCCCACTTCCCTCTCTCAGCCCCCCACTACCCTCTCTCAGCCCCCCTACTGGCTCTCACCCCCCTTATCCTGCCACACCCTGTCACAGCCCCCACTACACCGTGTCACCCCACACCCCACATACACCTTGTCACTGCCCTCCACACACACACCCTCACAGCCACCCCAACTCTGTCACTCCATTAGCACCCTGTCACAGCCCCACACACACTTTCACCCCACAACCCACATACACCCTGTCCTCACACACACCCTGTCCTCACACACACCCTCACAGCCACCCCCACTCTGTCCTCACATACACCCTCACAGCCACCCCCACTCTGTCCTCACACACATCCTCACAGCCACCCTCACTCTGTCACCCCACTAACCCTGTTACAGCCCCCCCACGCAACTTGTCAAAGCCACTCCATCCTGTCAAAGTCCTTCCCACATACCATCACAGCCACCCACCATGTCACCCCACAGCCCCTCCCCCACACTCCCTGTCACTCCCCTCACACGCACCCTTTCACATTAACCTCCTCCAACCTTGTAACACTCCCTCCTCCAGCTATGTCACAACTGTCCTATCATTCTCACCCTCCTTCATTCTGTCACACACGCCTTCCCAACTCTTTCATTTACCCCCCTTACCATGTCAAATTCACCCTGTCACACTCACCAACTGAAGACTTTCATTCACACACACACACTTAGTCGTAGCCTTGCCATAACACAATGCACAAAAGCCACAGGCAGCCCCCATAAACACAACACACCGCAAATAGCTGTCCCAGACACATGCTCACAAAGACATACATTCACACACAAGGATACTCTGTCAGACACACACTTTCATGCACACAAACAGGTAGACAATGCCAGACACACTCCGAAATACACACACCTGCACTTATGTATACCCGACTGCAAGGCTATGTAACCATACCCTGCAATCGTATAAACAGTTAGCATATTTGCTTATTAAATTTGTTTATTGCAAATTAATTTAGTTTGCTAATTATGCCATAACTTCAGTCAGAGAGCTCACAACGCAGTGGCACATGAAGCTGCAATACTGCAAGCCTCTGGACAATGAATACAGAGACTAGCTTTCTTTATCCAGCGCTGCAAATATGTTTTTCAAAATAACTACAGCACCTTATACACACAATAAAACCCCTATTTATTTCCACTTTGGGTGTTAGTGGGGGCCTCGTTTTTGTGTTTCGCCTAAGGCCTCACAAAGTCTAGAGCCGCCACTGTGCTAAACTACAAAGGCAATGAGTTTTAACCGTCTCTTACCAAAATGTAGGTTGTTCCTTGGGAATTCCCATCTTTCATTGTACGGTAGCTGCGTTGGGTCAATGCACGTATAATTATTTCCTTCAGAGACTCTCACAATCTGCCAGCGAACTTCATATTTTGGTTTCTGAAATAAGACATATAAATATGAACAGTGGTTATGTGATTTATATGGTACAAGTTTTTGGTCATTTTAAAGTTCAAACAGTCAAACATGAAAGGCAAGCCACTTTCATGACCGTAGAATTTAAGCAGGATATCTGACACAGTGGATGAAAGATCAGGTTTTGGGGAGGACTTCTGTTAGCACTTGATTTGTTATGACCAGAAGTTAGGGGCAATATTGAAACCCACAGATGGCATTTGTTGATGGAAACGTTTGTATTTACATAGTTATATAGCTGAAAAGAGATTTGCGTCCATAAATTTGAGACTTCTTCACGTATGTTTTTTGCTGTTGATCCAAAAGAAGGCAAAAAAAAAAAACAGTTTGAAGTGCTTCCAATTTTGCTACAAACTAGAAAAAAAATTCCTTCGTGACACCAGAATGGCAGTCAGATTAATCCTTGGATCAAGAAGCTATTACCCTACAGTTGAAAAATTATATAATTGAATATTCTGTTTTTGCAAGTATGCATCTAGTTGCTGTTTGAACATCTGTATGGACTCTGATAAAACCACTTCTTCAGGCATAGAATTCCAAATCCTTATTGTTCTTACAGTAAAATAACATTTTCTTTGCCTTAGACAAAATCTTCTATTTAGGTCAAGAATATTGGTGTGACCTACCTGGGACTTTGCTTATTACTGTAGATGCTTATGCCTTTCCCCATGTTTACTCACCTACTCTCTTACTCTCATTACAGGTGTTTGTTTGTATTTATTTATATATATTTATTTTTCTTACAGACAAGATGCACTTGTTAAACTGTTTATGGCACACTTTAAAAAAAAATATATATATACAAACCAAACCAAATAAAGCTATAATTGCCTTTCTGGGCATAGCTTTTAGCTTTTAGCATAGCTTTTTAGCCTATTGACTCTGTTCGGTAGTTTGTTCATTTTCAAACTACAGAACTAGACCGACCGCAAGCCCTGATTCTCTGGAACTGTTTTGGGCATGGGACCATGCCTGCGGTCTGTCAAATAAATGACTTCCAGGAAATACTGAACCCCTGAACTGATCTGGGTGATTTTTGGATATGTTGGTCATGCGGATCAGGGCTATCAGGGGATGTGTGAGGTTTTATGTATTTTTAGGGTACTTTTGGGGTGTTTTGAAAAAGTATGTTTTTTAAGCTAAATACCCTTTAGTTTTACTTGTTTTTTATGGCTCCTTTTTTAGCATTAAAAATATAGCTGATTATCCGTAACCATCACCACTTTGTGTGGTTTGACCTAATATTTCCTCTATATTTTCTTTTACATGTACAGCTTAAGAATATCTGGTACAAATACTTAGACAAACAATTTTCCTTTTTAGGATATTTTACCATCATTAGAACTTTTCTGTGTATATATTGTTTAATACATATCCTTATATTCTCAGGGAATAAATTAGATGTGGCACATACTCCTAATATTGACAACTGACCCGTATATATCTATACGGGTATATATAAAAAAGTCTCCTAGAGAGATGAAACGCGTAGACTTTCATGGTCCTGATTCTCACTAGATACAGAATATTGACGCTTCTCCTTTAAGGCAGCCGCGGCCTCTTGTGAAGTTCCCGGCCGCAGCGTACCACAAGATCCACAAGATCACAGCTTGTTGTGCTTCCTTGTTCCAGTCCCTGCAGCTGTCAGAAGAGTTGCTTCGGCTGATTGTCGGATTCAACAGTGCGGCTCTCAGTTAAACTGTGAGTGTGACAGCAGGCTACAAAGTAATGCTCGCTGGCAACTTTACCATCGGGATCCCTCTGACACCTATATCTACTTAACGATAGCATCACTTTTCATCCGTGGAGGGGGCCCACAACGGATAACTACTTTTTTGTTTGTTTTGTGGCTGCTATTCTTCTTTATAGGTTGATATTGTGCTGTGTGGAGATTTATATATCTTGTATTCTGTTTTTATATTTCATTTTATTATGCCTTTCTAGGTCTGTCATTTATTACCCCTTTTTCACTGTTTATGGGAGTGACCCCATTTTTGGAGTTTTTGGGTATATCTTTTTATGTCTTATTGAAATCATTTTAATTCTGAGTACTTGTTTACAGTTGCCCTTGGATAGCAGCTTGATTGCAGTGGTTTTTACGGCATTGCATACTTTGTTGCTATTCTGGGCATTTCCTGTACCTATACAGTGTGTTTATAGTATCCTTAGAGTTGATTCACTTTTGTTGATTTATATGACATTTATTAAACTCATTAATATATTTTGACTATCTACCAGTGAGATATAGTTATTTATTTTTATTCTTTGGTGCACACATACTTCTTTTATTTATTTTTCTTTATTACCAGTCACTAACCGTCTGTAGCAGCCCACAACTTTTTTATAAACATATATATATATATTTTAAATATTGTATTATGTCTGTGACTCACCACCCCTCTATTTTACTTATCTTTATTGTTCTGTCTGGCTTTCTCTCTGTCTCTCTCTTTACCTGACTGTCTTTGTCTCCCTTTGTCTCTATCTCCTACTCTCCTCTCTCCTATCTCAATGTATCTCTCTTCCTCCCTTTCAGCCTCCAATGCCTCTCCTTCTCTCTTTGTGCATCTGTCTTTCTCCCTCCATCTCAAGGTGGCATAAACAGCATTTTTTTTTTTTTAACAGAGCCTAAACAGCATTTTATTTCTATCTATAAAGCCATAACATAATCTGGCTTTGCCCCTTCTGAAATTGAGCTGTAAATCTGACCCTGGGTGGAGGAGAAAAATGTGGCAGAAGGATCAGAGGAAGAAATTGTGGCCCCCAGTCAACACCAGGAAAAGTAAAAGGGGGGATTAGCTCAGCTGGACTAGGTTGGCTGGGCCAGGAAAAAGGTGCCTGGGACAAGTTCATTTTCCAATCTGGTCCTGGTGGCAGTGTTTGGTTAAGAATACAGGACTCACGTCCACCACACTCAGTCATTGTTGCCAAGGTTGGATGGGCTAATGTGGTCATTCACTTCTGCTTTAGCATATTTAAAAAGCGATGTTTTTCGTAAACATTTGTAAAAATAATTTTGCGTAAATCCAGGGGATAGTGACCGAAGACTTATAACTATAACTTTATGGTTATAACTATACGTCTGTGGTCACCATATAACCACTATGTACCATAGTGGTTTTGATGCTTTGCATGTCCCTTTAAGAATGCTGTCCCTATATGTAGAACTTTTCATGTGTATAAAAAGATTCATTGCCTATTATATAGTAGCACCTTTTTCTGTTCCCATTTTCTAAACCATTTTTAAGATTTCTTTGTATCCATAGCTTTGAATTCCTCTATATGATGCAGAGATTTCTCAAGAGCCAGAAACCATTTCCTGCAGGTTTTCTGAACTTGCATCCTCTTTCTGATAGTTTTGTAACTGTGACATGCAAACACTTTTCTATTCTATTTTTGTTGTTTATCTGTGCTTTATTTGTTTTTTTAATACATTTTTAAAACACAACTTTTAGGTGTAAAAGGGGATTGTGCTGCGCTTAGGGACGACATGGAAAGATGGTGCAATGTAGAAATGTCATGGTTAGATAGGATTAAAGGACCACTATAGGCACCCAGACCACTTCAGCTTAATGAAGTGGTCTGGGTGCCTGGTCCAGCTAGGGTTAACCCTTTTTTTTATAAACATAGCCCCCATCCCCACATACAATCACGCCCTCCACCCCAACGCAGTGGTGGAACTAAAATATAAAGATCCCTGGTGCAAGAATTTTATTTGGCCCCCCCTAATTGAAAGGTTGGACAACTAGTAGAACTGTATCTGTCGTGAAACTCCAACAATGCATTGACAGGTGGGGTCCTACCAATTTCCCATGCTTGGGTTGTATTTTGCACTGTTTGAATGTAAGCATGTTTTTGTATGAAGTATGTCTGTCTAAATGTGTTTGTATGTGGTGTTGGAGTTTGGCTGCAAGCAGGCATTGATGTGTAGTGTTGTTTTTTGAATGTGTGTTTATATATAATTTTGGTGCTCAGACACACTGATACACATGCAAATACACAGATACACACACTGACTACTTACAGATACACAGAGACATACAGATACACATAAATATAAACTGACTGACACAAACACAGGTAAATACACTGACACACTCAGACATACTGACACACACATACTGAAACATACATACACAGACATACTGACACACACATACTGACACACACAGAGGCATACTGAAACACACACACACAGACATACTGACACACATGTAAAAACATTTTTAAACCCACCAGTTTCCTACCTTTTGCTGGAGGGTGGCTTCCCTGGGTTTCAGTGTGGTGTCTGAGGCTGATGGGAGTGAGGAGCCCCCATCGCCTCACTCCTGCTTTGCTCTTCCTGCTCCCTCCCACGCAGCATGCATTCTATATGGGAGGAAGTGACTCGCGGCAGTCACTTCCTCCCATGTTTCCGAAAAGCAAGGGCCCGGTTGTGCTGTTAAAGGGCCAGAGCACCCGACCCTGCTGATAGAAGCCCACCAGGTGGCCCTAAGTGCATGGGCCACTTGACGGGCCTCCTTAGAGTGCAGGGCCCAAATAATGAGGGCAGCGGGGTCCAGAAGCCAGCTGCCATGGGCCCCCCAGGAGTAACTGGGCCCAGGGCAGCTGCCCCGTTTGCCCCGCATTAAAGATAGCCCTGACTATTCCTAGCTTTTTAGAAAAGTTCACTCTACCCTTTTGACATTTATTTGGAGTAGGAATCCGGCAAGTATCAAGTTATTCGCAAAAACCTAGGGCATGTGGGGGTGTGGGTTTGCCAGACTTTGCTCGTTATTATCACGCCACCAACACAGCTGTTGCGTTCAAATTTAATTTAGCTACTTTACAGCCCCAATGGCTCCAGATGGAGGCAAGAAAAATTTTACCACAAGAATTGGTGTGGCTTCCTCCATCTCGACCACGTTACATAAATATGTTCCCATCCACCAAAACTATTATAAAATCATGGGACATGTTATATAAACAAATTAAATCCTTTGCAATTTGGTCTAGGGCAACTCCATTATCTGTTTTAATTTATGACATTCCAGACTTAGATTTAGATCTCATTCCATTACACACATTGATATTTTTTTTTACATTAAACAAAGATAGCAAATTTGATCAAATGAAAAATAAATTTGATTTGAAACATTTCCAATGAAATAATATATAACAAAATTATTAATCTGATTATTATTAAATGTGGCCTTTCCGGACTAGATCCGAACCAGAGAAAATTGGAATTATCAAAATTAGAAAAAATTTACTATTCAGGTCCAGCTCGGAAGCAGTGGTGGATCCGGGGGAGGGGGGCAATTGCCCCCCCCCCCCCTCAGAAAACAGAACTGGCTGAAGGTCTTCCCTGCCGGCCCCTGCAGGGCTGGCGCTATTCAAGCGCCGGCCCTGCTGTTTGCCTTCACGGACCGGAGGGGAGAGCAGCGATCTCCCTCCCTGGCCCGCAGGCACTCTGCTGGCAGCCGGCATGGGAGGGAGAGGGAACCTGGAGGAGCTCTTACCTGCACTTCCGTAGGGTTTCCTCTCACAAGCACGGAGCATTGCCGCAGTTTCCATGGGAACGCTCTGCTCTCATGAGAGTGAGAGTGAGCCCAGGAGCTGCAGGCTAGAGTTCACTCTCAGCACTTGGACACCAGGTATGGAAAGCAATGTTTCCCCCTTCCAGGCCTCAGGTGAGAAGGGAGGGGGGATATACAAAATATATATATATTTTTTAAATTATAAAAACATTTTCTTTGATCTGCCACCCCCACCACACACATAATAACACCCTACACATTCACACACTGCCCCCTACACACATTGCCCCACACACATATATACAGCCCCCCCATACACACATGTTGCACCCCTGACATACACTGCCCCCTCACACACACTGCCCCCCACACACATACTGCACCCCTTACACAACTGCCTGCACACACATTGCACCCCCATACACACACACTGCACCCCTCACACAAGCACTGCCCCTCATACACACAAACTGCACCTATCACACACACACTGCCCCCCATACACACACTGCACTCATCACACAAACACTGTACTCATCACACAAACACTGCCCCTCATACACACAAACTGCACCCATCACACACACACACTGTTTCCCCATACACATACACTGCCCCCTCACACACACACACACTGTCCCCCCACCCTCCCCTTATACACAAATACTGCTTATCAACAGCTAGAAATTACATTATGAGACAAGTGTGGCTTTTGGGGGAAGAAAACAATAGAATCAATTATAATCTTATTTCGTTGTCTATGTCTGGCCAGATGATGATTGTTAATATGTTACATAGTTACACAGCTGAAAAGAGACTTTCGTCCATCAAGTTCAGCCTTTCTCACGTGTGTTTTTGCTGTTGATCCAAAAGAAGGCTAAAAACCTAGTCTGAAGCGCTTCCAATTTTGCCACAAACTAGGAAAAAAATTCCTTCTTGACCCCAAAATAGCAGTCAGATGTCTCCTTGGATCAAGCAGTTATTATCCCACTAATTATTAGAAATTATATCCCTGTATGTTATGTTTTTGCAAGTATTTATCCAATTGCAGTTTAAACATCTGTAATGACTCTGACAAAACCACCTCTTCAGGCTCAGGCAGAGAATTCCATTTCCTTATTGCTCTTACTGTAAAAAAATCTTTTCTTTGCCTTAGATGAAATCTCCTTTCTTCCAGCCTAAATGTGTGACCTCATGTCCTATGTATAGCCCTGTTCATGAATAGATTTCCAGATAAATGTTTGTACCGGCCCCCGAATATACTTGTATAATGTTATCATATCCCCTCTCAGGCGCCGTTTTTCCAAACTAAACAGATTTCATTTTTTTAACCTTTCTTCACAACTAAAATGCTCCATTCCTTTTATCAATTTTGTAGCTCGTATCTGGACTTTTTCTAGTGCCATGATATCTTTCTTTAGAACAGACACCCCAAATTGCACTGCATATTCAAGGTGTGGTCTTATTAGCGATTTATAAAAAGGCAAAATTATATTTTCATCCCGAGAATTTATGTCACTTTTTATACATGACAAAACCTTACTGGCCTTAGCAACCGCAGATTGACATTGCATATTGCTGCCTAATTTAGTGTTTTAGTGTTTGCCCAGTCCCCCAATCTATCAAAATCCCTCTGCAGCAAAGCAATATCCTGCTCACACTTTATTACTTTACAAAGTTTTGTGTCATCTGCAAACACTGATACATGGCTTTCAATGCCTATTTCAAGAGCATTTATAAATATGTTAAATAGAAGTGGTCCCAAAACAGAACCCTGAGGGACACCACTTACCACTTTTGTCCAGCCTGAAAATGTACCATTGACAACACGTTGTACTCTATCCTTAAGCCAATGTTCTACCCAAGAACAAGAATATTCATCTAGACCCATTTCTTTTAGTTTGAAGACTAGCCTATTGTGAGGAACCGTATCAAATGCCTTGGCAAAATCCAAGTGCAACACCCTGATCTATACTTCTACTTACTTCTTCCTAGAATGCAATTAGGTTAGTTTGACCTGACCTATGTTTCATAAAACCATGCTGATTATTGCCAACAACAAAGTTCTTCCCAATGAATTCCTGAATATTATCCCTTAATAGCCCTTCAAATAGTTCTTCAAATAGTTTCCCAGTTACAGAAGTTAAGCTCACAGGTCTGTAATTTCCAGGCAAGGATTTTGAACCCTTTTTAAATATAGGAACCACATCTGCCTTCCTCCAATCCTCCGATACAATACCTGAAATGTTGTATATATTTAATTGTGTATAATAACATTGTGTACATAAACAGATAAATTATTAATAATATTCCACTGGATGTTTGTAATTATAGAGTTTATCCTATGTTTTATTATATTTTATTTTCTGTATTAATTAATATTATAATTATTCTTTTCATTATTGTATCATATTGTATACATTTATGAATTGTTAATTAAAAAATCTTCAATAAAAATATTTGAATAGAAAAGGGGATTGTGTTGAATTGGCAACCAAATTGTGAAACAGACAAATTGGAAAAATAGCTAAATAAATAAATTTCAAGATCAGCTATTTTTATTCAATTCCAAGTCTGTTTAAATGCATTTGTTTTTTAGGGTTTGTAGGGAAAACACAGTTCTGGCTTATTGGATATTTTTCCTTTGAGCAGAGAGTCAAAAATTAGGTCTATGGATGAGAACATGCCATTTGCCACAGCTGTCGCTAGCCGTAGCTCTGAGAATCAACAGAACTTGATGTTCGAGCCTCTGCTTTTTTTTACCACATTTTGTTAACCTACTTTGTCTTATGATATTTTATGATTGTGTTGCAATTACAGTGAAATTCCACACAGTAAATATGGGTATTTTATACAGATTTTATGACTCAAAAGTTATACTTCCATGATATTAAGGGATGGGCTATTTTTGTATGTAAATAGCTGAAATTTAGAGCACAAATGTTTAATATATGACAGGTAAATATTTGTTCAAATTAAAATCTTTCTTTTTTATAAAAATATTCCCTTCTCTTTATATCATGCCAAAAAAAACAAAACATCAACATATCGTGGTATCTGTTTACTAGCTAATTAATACAAAGGTATCGTCTGATGGAAACACTCATTGAAAAGTTTGCATCTATCATGGTCAAAACAAAACCTAACCCTACCTTTGACCCCTGGAGACATTAACCCTAATAGTTAACAAGGTGACCTGCCAAGCCATACCAAGCCATACCATGAACCACATAATCCTGGATTCAGGAATGCTGGTCCTAGAAGCAAAAAGTGCAATCATACAAACAGTAAGCATGGATCTCCTTAACATCTCCAATGCCAGAAAGTCATGACCCTTACAGCTAAACCATGATTACACAAACTCTAACCTTGGACCCCCACTTCCATGAAGAACAGATCCTACCAGTTAACCCAGGTACTGCAAACCCCAAGTTGCTAAATATGGACCCCACTACCATTTAAGTAACACTAAAGGCATTAAGAACACTTCATGTAAATAAAGTTATCTGGGTGTAATGCCTCTGTTATTTGAGCGCTGCAACGAAAACATTGCCGTTTTGTAAAAATTGCATTGCTTTCATTGCAGGATTAACCACACATCAAGTGGTTGTCTTCCTGACAGTCACCAGAGCTGCCTTTGCTGAAATTACTGTGATGTCATCAAATGCTGCTCATGAGAAGCATTTGAGTAGACAAGTGTAGAGCCACCGCTATGTGCTTCTCATTCCTTGTGCTATCCATTGTATTGCATGAAAGGTAATGAAGCAATGCATGCCTGGTGACCTTGTGGAGGTGGAGGAGCAGGTAGCAGCATAGAGTGAGTGTCAATGATGGGAAAAAAGTGAGTAAAATATTTTCCCATATTTTCTACTGCAGTTGGGGGGGCTGAAGCTAAATATGGACCAGAACATATATGTTTCTACTACTTAAGCAATAGTGTTCCTTTAACTCTGGATTCCTGGACAGCATTGACCCTAAAAGATTTACTCCATCCACATAAACTAAAGCATTGGATCTAACAGCTAAAACATGGACCTCGCTAATATTAAGTGTGGCCTCCTGTAAGAATTGATTACATCTGCTTGCCCTTCTTAATTGAAAGACATCTCATCTGGATAAGAAGAGCAGTCGATATAATTGAACAGCCTTTATGAAGATAGCATTCCTAAACATACTTTAATGTCTCTATATATTATGTTCTAAATATGTGACATAATTCATTGTATTAATAACTTCCATGTTAGCTAACTTCATAGTCTCTTAAGGACTCATGAGATTGTTTGTCATAATCATTCCATTGAAGACCTTCTGCCAGCATGTAACATGCTGATTATTTCACTTTAGTAACTCTATACCACCTTGACTTTGTTGAAAGAACTTTTCATTTTGCAGCTCAATCAATATGAGTCTGGACTATATTTCTATGACAGCGGTTAGTGAAAGGCAAAGTGCAAATTTTCTGTCAAAATTGCCAAACTGGGAAACAATCTCCAACTCCACTCTTTTTCCATCTTGAATATTTTGGCCTAAAATACCATTTTATAAATTACTATCAGATCTTTGACCCAGCAGCAGTTTTACACTGTTAGATAAAGTTATTATGTGCACTTATTTTTGTTATAGAAGCTAATTTGAAACCTATGTCTATTTACTTTTCTATCAACTCATTTAGTTGCAAATGTCACATAACACGAAGGCAGTGATAAAGTATAAACCGTTTCAAAGGTGGCCAGTAGATATAAATATATTATCATGGATGCTCACCTGTTGATATTTATAATACAGGAACACTGTGAGAATGAATAGGAACACTCCGAATATCGTGATTGCCGTCAACAATGGATTGAAAAGGCTATTTTCCACCAAGTGCATAGCTACAATGAAGAAGAAAAAGGAAAGTTGCATAAAGCAATAATACATTGCATTAAATAATACTTTAAAAAAGATATACATTTGCTAGGTTCTGTTAACTGTGAATTTACCACCACAAAACAGAGACATCCGCAAAACTGGCACTTGAACTGGGTATTTGTAGGCCTTTACAAACAGTTTTAAAAAATTACCTTTGAGCTCTTCCAGCTTCTCACTTTCCTCTGTATTTCTTTACTTTATGATTTACTATCTTGACTCTTGATTGAATGCTCCTTCCAAACTACTCAGAGACACTCAGACTATAAAATCTATTTTGTAAACCTATTCCGACCAGGTCTTCAATAATCTCTTATTTTTCTGTTAACATTTGTGATAATTAGTCTCATATTAGCTGTCACATCTACGCCGTATAATGATAAAAACTGTGAAACGCGTTGGTGTAATATAAAAGCCAATACAATGAATTAAAGATAGATGCTGTATATACTCACTAGTCGTAACCCTAGCTGTTAATACAGTTGTTTGTGAATCCGTCCCCTCACTGTTGGAGGCATTGCAGCCAATACTGCTATTCAGCTGAGATTCATGAATGAATAACACACTTTCCACTCTGGTATCAAGGATCCTGGTTTCAGGGCTGCCTATCCTCTGTTCTGGATCGAAGGTGCAGCTGCAAGAGGTGAGAGGAAAGAGAAATGTAGTCATATTGCTGTGTTGCGTTTGACAGTGTTTCTTCTAAAGTCCTTTTAAACATTAAACAAGCATTCTGATACCTTGAGGACTCCAATCAAACACTGGTTGCTTTATGCACATATAATCTTCCTTAGTATATAGGTCTGAAACATACTGCTAAAAGCTACTGAATGGGAAGGAGGACAACTAATTCCAGCCCAAATAATTACTTACACACATAGGGCTCTTAACTTCAGGTTGGTAAGTGGAGCCAACATCATTACCCGCATTAGAGCTGCCAAAGGGGTTTTCCTCTCTCATTGAATTGAGTAAGTGCTGTGCTGCTAACCTTTACTTAGCATGGTTTAGACGATAGACTAAAAATATTACCACCTTGTCAGATAGAACACATTGCATCTAGTTTAGCCATGGTATGTTGAGAGTGCTGAGAGTTAGCTCAGAGGCAATTCATTTACAGCACCATAAATATTATGATGAGCTGTAGTACTTATGGTGCTTAGTGTGTACCTTTAATTTATCCATTAAAGGCAACTGATGGTTTCTGAAGTCCCACACACATCTGATCAAGAATGCCCTCGCTGAACACTCTACGGTGTTCTTTTAATGTGACTGAAAATCACTGCCATGTATGCTGCCATCTTCAGCATGCTCTATGAACACACTAAGAAATGCGGAGTGTCCTGTTTACCCTGCTTACTGGCATTAGTTGGTTTACTAGTATCAAACACATTTTTTTTACACATGTTTGCAACATTATACGGTGTCAAGGGTAACTGTGAGATTTACGATTCTTTCAGATAGATAATATGTCATCCTTTGAATGTTAGATTGATTGAATGATAGATAAATTGATGATTGAAAGTGCCTCAAATGTTTATATAGCACATAAACATTTCCTGGTGGGTTAATCCATATTAAATGTTTTATATAAATTTTAGTTTTTGGCAAAATTCGTAACATATTTATTATCTTACCTCTGGTTTGCACACATCCAGGCAATGGAAGGCAGTGGATTTCCCCAAGCTGTGCAATTCAGTGCTATAGTACCATCTCCATAGTAAGAACTGCTTATAGCAACCTTAGGGGGGCCTGGGATAGATGAGGTAGAATTAGCTGAAAGTACTAGTACACACAAAAACAGGATTACTTTTTTTTTTGACTTATGATTTGCTTTTCTGTTCAATCTATATTTTTATATCTGCTAATCAAAGAATCACATTATAAAACATATTGTATCAATTATATTATTGGCCATAGGTAAGAAAAAAGGCTAACCCTTTTTTCATATTTGCCTGTGGGCATTGACAGAAACAGATTTAGACAATTAGATTCCTCAGATGTAGCCAGTTCTATTACTATGGGTATTTCTTGTATCCGGACCTTAGCTTGTATTTTGACTTTTCTAGCCTCATTGCGGACAGCTTATAACATCCCCTATTAGGAGATATTTTGTTAAGCCCACAAAAGGATCAGCAATATGTTTTTCTTCATCTTGCGCTCTTTTAAATTCTCATGGCTCCGTTCTGCCCTACACATCCCAAGTCTTTAAAGAGGCTCTATCGCAGTAAAGTGGTCTGGGTGCCAATCCCTGCCTTTTTAACCCTGCAAGTAATACACTGCCGTATAGTAGATATGTTTACTTTGCTGGGTTAATCTGCCTCTAATGGCCCAATAGCTACTATTTAGTCAGATAGTATAATAGTATTAGAGAGACCATTTGATTGGCACAGCATGACATTTTGCTTCACATGCACACTAGCCTACCAATCTTTCCATATTGGGGAAACATTGGATTGGCTGAGATCATCAACATTGAGGTAGAATGGCAGGACAGAGACAGGTGTAGCGAGGACTGATCAGTAAGTAAATCTCACCTTTCAAACCCTCACATGGCAGGGGGGACACTAAAAAAGATAGCTAAAAACTATAGCATTAGAAACACGTTTGTTCCTTTAATGAAGAAGAACGAATCTCATTATTGCTTTACGCTGCTTTACTTATTATGATACATTTGACCTGTTTTACAACCTTTTTAGTAGAGACTTATAGCGCTATATTTCATTATGGCTTCATTACATTTTATTGCTGTCCATTGTGAACTTAGTCACACTTCCCCTTCCCAACATCTTAAACCAGCCTAATGGTGCATATTCCTTACAAATGTGTGCATGGGACAGCATATGTAATGTATGTGTGTGAACCTGTGTATAATGTGTGTTTGAGGACCTGCTTATAATCTGTGTATGTGAGATTGTTCTTACTGTATGCAGGAAAACGTTGGTGTCTAAATAGGTTGTTGAGTGACTAGGTGGGATGACAGAAGTAAGTAGCTAGGAGGATGTAAGCAGAAAGGTGAGCATGGGTAAAATAAGACAGGGTGGGTATGGGTAAACATGAGACTGGATTGGAAAATTTATATTATTCTCCACGTGGGAAGAATGTGACCCGGTGATAGACTGTATGTGACCATGTGTGACAGGTTGTGTGACTGGCTATATGTGACTGGGTGTATAAAAGGTATGTGAGGAGGTATATACGAGGTGATCATAAGATTGACTGACTGGGTGAGTTCACAGTACTGCCTTGCCCACTGTTATCAAGCTATTTGACTGCAAAGTGAATCCCCAGGTGTTAAAGAACATAAATATGCCTTGAAAGATGTGGTGCTTAGGTGCAACCAGTGCACCATCCTTTACTCACCTCTGTTTCATTGTGATTTGTGGAAATAGAGTCTGTTTCTGTTCATGCTATAATAATTTACATGACCTTTATAACAGTTGCCTGTCTCTATCTACATTAATACTATCGTAGTTTCTCTGTATTACTGTAGTCCTTATGGGCCGGTAAATGTCCAATGCCATTGATAGCTTGATAACTAGATAACAATATGCAACATTTAGCACATTAAATAAAGAAGTACAAATTATCTTATTTTGTTCCTTATTAATGTTCACTAGGTTGTATTGTGACTTATTCACTGAGTGAAACCTCTTTCTGTTTTAAATGTCAAAATAAAAAAATAAAAGCTTCATTAATTTTTTATTAGACCCGGTATATTTAATTTTGCTTCCTAATTCGTTTACATAATTTTTCATAATTTGTAGAACTTACGGAGCAAAATTACTTCAAAGCTAAACGAAGCATTGGCTTTTGAGTTGTACACAGAAAGGGTGTAGGTCCCACTCTCATTTATCTGTAAGCGATTCAGTGTGAGAATGTTCACATAGCTAAAACAAAACAAAAAAACAAGAGTCAAAACATTTCAAAACAGCAAAGTCAGACAGCTGAGTTCAAAGGTCAAATGGCATTCTAGTGATGTTGTACTGACACTGCATTCTTAAGAGAGCTTTGTTACTGTATCAGCATCTCCAGTGTTGATGCAGATTTTAGGATACACCTGTACAGGTGTATCACATCTTGTGCTTTAAGGTAAACGCTATTATTATGGCACAGTAACGAAGTTGCTTTTTAATATGTGTGGCACAAATGTAGCATCCCTGTAATAAAGCACATTTTCAGCTACCCATCTAATCCGCCACATTTTCAAATCCTCAAAAAATACATAGTTTTTTTTAATTATATATATTTAAAATTTGTTTCTACAAGAACAGCAAAAAGATTTTAAAAAATGTTAGCAAATGTCAATTAACTCCAAATTTCCTTAGAAACTGCAAATTCAGGAGAGCATTCATACGTATATATATTTATATATAAAAAAAACCAGAAACTAAATTTAAACTATTGCATTACGATTACGAAGGCGACCAGACATGTAATCTTTCTTTAATGTCAGCAACGTAAATATTTATCTTTTCACATATATTGCTGCCTTCTACATTGTCAAGCATGCAGTTATGGACACTATTTAACATTGTGTTCCCTTCCTTCATTACAGCTTTAGTGAAATGGATATCTATCCCCTCTGCCATATCTGCAATTGACTTTACGTTCACAACTACATTGTCCGTTAGCTATTAAGTTTTTTATTTGTATTTTTTTAAACTATTTGCAATGTGTTACTAATTAGGTAAATTGTTTATGACTTCGTTTCATCATTTCAGAGCAGGTCGGACCTATCAAAATTAAGGCTATTACCCACAAAACAATAGATTGTGAAATGGCAAATCCTTAAATCCATTTTAGTTTTAGGTGTTGGCGTAGAAATTCCTTAAAGAGGCACTTTAGTGCCTAAATGTAATAAATAAATAAGAAATAAAGCAAAATATCAATGTTTAGTAGATATACCATAAATAAAAATTAGCATTTTTTTAAAAATTGCTATACATATTAAAACAGCTTGCACAGATTGCAGATCCAATCCCCTTCAGACTTTCTATGTCTGTCCATTGACAAACTTTCCAATTCAACTCATTGAGAAGTCTTTGCAAGTCTGTCTGATTGACAGCCAAGGAGGGTGTAACAAGGCTTTTTTATTTATTAAATTTTTTACATAATTACCAATTACAATCTGCTTGTAAAATGAAAAAAAGGACACAATCTTCATGCATAAAGCGTTTCAGCAAGGTAACGTGCTTTAGGAAAGAAATTATTTTACCCACTCGTAATCGCCATCATCAGAGATTTTCTTAATTTTGATCTTTCAGTAGATTTTTCTCTAATTTGATATTCTAATATGGCAATCCCAATCGAAATTAAGAAAAGGACTAATTTGGATTTTTACTAATTTAGCAGATAACTGTCTATATCCCTATATTGGTACTTTGTTACTTTGGTTTTTCCCCTGTACATATCTTTAGTTCATAGTGATGATGTCAGTGTAAAGGTAACATGGTAAGGATTTCAAACCTGTAAGGTCTTGAGGACTGTATTTTTCCAAGAGCAGTCACATTTGCTATATTGTCACCATTCACGTGGATCCATTGCCAGTATAGATCCGTTGGATATGCTTCAATCTCTACCTTCATTTTCACATTCTGGGCCACCTTCAAAACAATACTGTTGTTCTGGGAGGCAGAGAGCCTAACATAACCCCTTTCTGCAGAAGTAGTATGCAAAATAGGTGAATCATTATTATAAAAATAGATCCCAAGAATTAAAATCTACATCATTGTCTTTGTTAATTTTTTTTAAAAAATCACACCAAACAACCCATTCAGATTAACAGTTAAAAAGAGGAAACATAAGATTCTATATACATAAAAATTCTTTCAATTTTAGTAGAAACCTCAAATATGGAACTACAGTGGAGTAGTCTCAAATCTGAAACAAACCATATAGCACATCAAACATGGCATATAGAGCAAATGGATTATTATTATTGCTAGTATTATTAATATATATGAATTACACTTGCGTGGAACACACTGCACATAAATATGGCCCTACATTTCAATGCCATCAATGCACACAAACACACCCCTGCATTCAGACACAAAGACTACATGCAAACACAGACAAACTTTCAAACGCTATTACTACAAACACACAACTGCATTCAAATGCCAACACTACACACAAATAAACCTTTTTTCATTTTTGCAAGAAAGTAATACATTACATTTATGACATTATATGAAGTTGTTCCTTGTACTTGCTTTTTTTTTCTTGTTTGCGAGTATGTGTATATACATTTTGTGCATTCGGCACTCTTGCAGTGGACAATTATGCCCTCCAGAGGAAATTAGTTTGGCACCCTTATTCTATGGTGTAGAGGTCTCTCTCATTTCTATGTAGCCGTAGTGGTTGTACCTAGAAACGTGCTAAGCTTGAGATGGTTCAATTTTATGTTTTGCTTAGGCAGCAGGAAGTGGTGCTTTGTTACACCTATCGCTGCATGGATCTGCCAAGCTTCGTACGGGGATCTTCCACTTATATTAGTTGACTGCACACACTTTCATATCTAAAATTAACCTCAAATATCCAGAACCACCGTCTCTCTTCCTCCTGAAGCAAGTGGAGTTTAAGAGATCATACTATTTTCCCACACATATTAAAAGTCTTCAAGCATCTTCTCAAGCTGCTTATTATATTTAATAATGATTTTACTTATAAAAATGTAACTCAATTATTTAATATTCAGACATTTTCTTTACCTACAACTTTAAGAGTTGTGAAAGTCGTACTGGATCCTGCTTTGTTTGTGCCATTGCATTTGTAAATCCCACTGTCAGTCATTTTTACCCCAGGGATACGTAATACAGAGATTTTGGTCCAAGTGTGTTCGTTGTATGTGAACTGGTCAGTCACCGACACCTGGTAAAAATAAAAATACAATTTTTCTCAGAGTTTGCCTACTTTATTATTTACAAATAATGGTCCTTCTATAAAAAGAGATTTCTCTACAAGAGTATTGGTTGCCAAAAAGTACATTTTATAAGTTTGGACTTCAATACATAAGGAACAAAAAGGAAACAAACCTTATAGGTTAATATGTAATAACAATGTGGCAAAAAATATCTCACAAAGAGGAAAGACGAGACGGGGGGATATGATAGAAACATTTAAATACATAAAGGGAATCAACATAAAGGAGGAGACTATATTTAATAGAAGAAAAACTACCACAACAAGAGGACATAGTCTTAAATTAGAGGGGCAAAGGTTTAAAAATAATAGCAGGAAGTATTACTTTACTGAGAGGGTAGTGGATGCATGGAATAGCCTTCCAGCTGAAGTGGTAGAGGTTAACACAGTAAAGGAGTTTAAGCATGCGTGGGATAGGCATAAGGCTATCCTAACTATAAGATAAGGCTAGGGACTAATGAAAGTATTTAGAAAACTGGGCAGACTAGATGGGCCAAATGGTTCTTATCTGCCGTCACATTCTATGTTTCTATGTATACAAATCAAAGCATATCACAGGTCATTCATGGTGTCCTAGGTGCATCTCTTCATTTGCCTGAACTTCCTATATAGCCAGATGTCACCAGCCCATGCAAAGTAATATTGTACAGAAAATAAATGGTCACACTAGTGTGATACTGCAAAAATTACCAAACCAATGTATTAAAATCTCACACCATGTTTTGTGATATGCCTTTTTTAGTCCTAAGTCTGTGAGTATTATTTTTATACTTACGTTTTCTGCATTTTGTTGCCATGTCACTTGGGGTTCTACACTGCTTGACACTTTGCAGGTAATCGTGAGGGGTTCCCCTTCTATTTGAATATGTAAGTAAGAGTCCAGCTCAAGTGAAGGTACCACCTTTGGCACTAGAACAATGAAAAATGTAATTTTAGCATCACAGTACAACTGCTATTCACTGTTTCTTAATAGTTAGTAAGTTTTCTTCAGGCCCAATCATTTTCAGATTGGGAAATATATTTGTAAATGTTTGTATAATAATCAATCAATCTGGAAAGAAATATAAAGTCCAGACACTCATAAGATCTTGGTGTAGACTTTTAGTTGGAACATCAGGCAAACAATTGACAACGTTTCAGTTTTTCTCTTGTGCCAAGTACTCATTGGAAACATGACTCAGTTTGAGGCAGCTCAAGAACTTTATGTATGGCTAATGGGTTGCTTATTGATTAAATGTATGAAGGTAAGTCTCCAAAATTGTGACTAGTGCTATTGATGTATTACATAGTATCTTGTCAAATCCAGTAAAGAATAAATCATTGCACAAATGTGTAATGGGACAGCACTGGTAAATAGTTAATATATTAAACAAATATTTACTAGGGAATTCTAGATAGAAATAAGTCACTATAGTGCGGGTTAGTGAATGATAAAATTTAGATTGCAAAAATATTGACATTATTTATTTTTGCAAGAAAGATTTTTTTTATTATTATTTTGCAAGATTTTGACTTGGGCATTGAGTGGATTTGGCAATTCTCTTGTATTAGCCTCTCTATATGTAGTTCAGGATTTTAGAACCATTCAGTCTTACCTTCTTTTACAGACAGAGTTATTTCATCAGAATGTTTCCCTCTTGCTTGACATATGTATATATTGTCAAACTCGATTTGCACATTATAGATAGTAAATCCTTTATGGGGATTAAAAGTTGCATTCATTGTTGCTGGAATTGGGATAACATTATTATTACTGATCATTTTCAGGGAAATCGCAGATATTGGTATTGTTGGGTCAGTTATCAAGCATGGTAAAATGGCTTCTGTGTCTTCTTCAACATAAATTCTATCTTCAAGGTTATGCCAGAGCTGGGAGCCTAGTGAAGAAAGTAAATAATACTATTAACATGGTAACTTTTATTTTAGAGTATTGGCAGCACTTTTTATTCAAGTGTGCTTAGCAGAGTGTAGACATCCAACTTACGAGATGTGTCAAGTTGAAGAAATCAGTTGCTAGTTTGTCCTTGTGTTCTGTTCATAGCCTGAAAAAGCCTTTTTTTTCTGGCCTAAATGCTTTGCTTAATATGACCAGCACTGACAGTACAATTAGCCTTTACAGGGCTTCTAACATATCCTTGAGGTGCAAGTTTGACTTGAGGACAGAGTTGGGGACCATTAGCATATTGGGTTGTGTAAAAGTGAAGCTATTAGTATAGAGAAATGTTAAATGAACACTATATGCACTATAACCACACCAGCTTTCTGTTTCTGGAGTGCCCTGGTGCCCACCTCATGGGGAACATTTGAATCACTCTTACTTAAGAACTTCCAGCTCTACAGCATTAGCAGTAGAGGCGGGGAGTGGTTGCCGGCAGACCCCAGGTTCAACTGGTAGTAGAGGCAGGTAGTGGTGCCTGGTGGACCCCAGCAAGCTGTAATGGTTATCATGCTTGTATTATACTTATAAGGTATGTGGCATATTCCAATGGAACTTTTTTTTTTAATGTCTGGTAGATGGACTGGTTAACCTAACTAGGGGTGTCTGTTCACTTAGAAGTAGCAATTTCAAATAAGGGAATACGTTATATATGTTTCTAAAATCTTCCCCAGGCTCATGGTGCACAGAAGACCTAATTAGAGTTGTAGCTGCTGGGATGACCAACACTAACATCACAATATGATTATAGATGCCATTATAACTATGTAGAAACAAAACAGTCTAACAATAATTACATTCAGTAAACATCAGAGGAAAAGTGGACAGAAACTAAACCTTTAAAACAAGATATTTCTGGAAAAAGTTAAAGTACTGAGCTATGATTTTATGTATATAGTAAATACTGAGTACTGATATACACTGAACAAAATTATAAATGCAACACTTTTGTTTTTGCTCCCATTTTTCATGAGCTGAACGCAAAGATCTAAGACTTTATCTACGTACACAAAAGGCCTATTTCTCTCAAATATTGTTCACAAATCTGTCTAAATCTGTGTTAGTGTTTCTATCTGTTTTCACATCTATGCAACAGCATATTATCACTCTGTAACTTCACACTTAATATTGTTTTTGCCCCCCTAAATAAGTTTATTGAGGGTGCGTATTGCACATGAACAAGATGTAAGATATAAACTATACTTGAGATCCACTTACATGCTATGCACCATATTTCAGATTATATGCACTTTGTTCTATTTCTAAAACTTCAGTTGAAGCGACCTTAACCCCTTAAGGACTGAGCCAAATGTACAAGTTGTGATCAAAACAAAATGTAAACAAAGCACAGAATTTGGCTCTATGTCTATTCAACCATAATTTACCTCTCTAATACTAAGTGCACCCACACTTATCATATAGCAATTTGTTCAGGGGAAACAGGGCTTTCATTCCATATCAAACATTCATATATGGAACTCCATTTTATATGAATAAATCTGAAAAAGTAAAAAAAATTAAAGTTTGCTATTTTTCAATTTAACTGTTAATGTCACAATACTGTTCGGTTTTATTGCAATAAAACATACATATTTGTATTCAGAAATGTCTCACGAGTAAAACCCTTATGTATAGGTTTTAAAGGGTTTTGGAAAGTTACAGGGTCAAATATACGGCTTGTCCATTATTTTTTTTACACATATAAATTTGACAGATTCGTTTGCTGGGCCTAGGTTGCCTTTGAGAACGGATGGCAGCCAAAAAATAAAAATTACCCCCATCGTGGCATACCATTTGAAAAAGTAGACATCCCAGGGTATTCAAAATGGGGTATGCCCAGTCTTTTGTAGTAGGCACTTGGGCAAAAACCCTAGCCAAAGTTAGTGTTCGTGTTTTTTTTTTTTAAATTTTTAAAATTAAAACTGTATTTTTATTGATAATATTATTGTCAGTATATAGTTTACTGCCCTGAAACACAACTAGTTCTGTTCAGTGATGTCTCACGAGCGCCACGGTACCCCCCATGTATAGGTTTTATGTGGTTTTTGAAAGTTACAGGGTCATATATATGGCTTATCAATTTATGCTTTTTCACATTGAAATTTGTCAGATGACTTTGCTGTGACAAGGCCGCCTTTAAGACCGTATGGCAGCCACAAAATGAAATTTATTCCCATCATGGCATACCATTTGAAAAAGTAGACATCCCAGGGTATTCAAAATGGGGTATGCCCAGTCTTTTGTAGTAGCCACTTGGGCACAAACCCTAGCCAAAGTTAGTGTTTGTGTTTTTTTGTTGTTGCATTTTTCACATAAAAACTGTACTTTTACTGATAATATTAGTGTCAGTATATAGTTTACTGCCCTGAAACACTCCTAGTTCTGTTCAGTGATGTCTCACGATATGTATAGGCAGCTGCGATCAGTACTGAAAGGGTTATTTTTAAGTTATGAAAACAATAACCCTAAAAAAAAAAAAAAAGGTAAGCCTGATCAGAGAGCCCTCTGATCACAGTGATTACTGATATAGTACTGTACAGCATATATACTGTGCAGTATAGTGATCACGGCAGCGGGGAATGGAGATTTGGGTTGCTGCAACTGACACAAAGGGTCAAAAAAAATGAGAAATTATTTTTTTTGACCCCAACATTTTTTTAAATAAAGTACAAAAGTACTAGATGACAGTAATAAGCTGTGATCAGCACTGAAAGCACTCAAAGTAATAAAACTTTTTCTTTTCACAGGAGCTGTAAAACCAACGATATCTCTGCCTCTCTCAGATCGAAGTGAGGTGAGGAGAGGGGCAGAGACAATGTGTCAGCCAGTGATCTGAGGACTGGCTGTCACTGTGATCACTTGCTGCAGATTGGGTAATTGACCACAGGGGGGAGTGCCTGGGTGGTACAAGCACTCCCCCTACCGATCTGCAGGGGGATCATGGCGCCTATTACATGTATCAGCCATTAGGCTGACACATGTAACACTGATCGCAGTGACAGACTGTAACTGCGATCAGAGCGCTCTGAGATCGCAGTGACAGGCTGTCACTGAGATCAGACAGTGACGATTGCGGTCACTGACCCCAGGGGGACTGCCTGGGGGGTCAGGTATGTCCCCCGACCGCGATCTGCACAGGGGAAAGCCACCGGCCACGTGTGTCAGCCGATTTGAAATCGGCTGACACACGGTAAATACGGTTTGCAGTGACAGCCTGTCACTGCGATCACAGACTGCAGATCGCGGTCACCGGCCACAGGCATCCCCCCAACCGCGATCTGCAGCGGGCGATTAGCACCGGCCACGTTGTCGGCCATTATAGCGAGAGCGTACTATTACGCCCACCGGCGTTTAGAGTCAGCTCCTGCAGGGCGTAATAGTACGCCCTCCGGATTTAAGGGGTTAATATTTTACCTGGATAGCTGTGTTATTGTTAAGTTCAGCAACCTCACAACTGCAACAGCGATTAACCTTGATGTATTGTAATATTGCAATAATATTATATACCAGTTTAAATTGTAAAATGTTCGCATTTTCAGCTGCAAATGTATGCAAATTACAGTGAATAAAAGCATTTACAAAAAAAAAAAATAATAAAGGTGCTAAATCTTGGCACATTGCAATCAAACTGCTGAATAAAGGATTAAAAAGCTGGGTTTGCCGAGATAATCCATCCTCCTCACAGATGTGGCATATCAAGATGCTGATTAGACAGCATGAATATTGCACAGGTGTGCCTTAGGCTGGCCACAATAAAAGGCCAATCTAAAATGTGCAGTTTTACTGTGGTGGAGGGATCCGGGGGGGTCCGAAAACCAGTCAGTATCTGGTGTGACCACCATTTGCCTCACCCAGTGCAACACATTTACTTTCCATAGAGTTGATCAGGTTGTTGATTGTATCCTGTGGAATGTTGGTCCATTCCTCTTCAATGGCTATGCGAAGTTTCTGGATATTGGCAGGACCTGGAACACGCTGTTGTATACGCCGATCCAGAGCATCCCAAACATGCTCAATGGGTGACATGTCCGGTGAGTATGCTGGCCATGCAAGAACTGGGATGTTTTTAGCTACCAGGAATTGTGGACAGATCCTTGTAACATGAAATATCATGCTGCAACATGAGGTGATGGTCGTGGATGAATGGCACAACAATGGGCTTCAGGATCTTGTCACGGTATCTCTGTACATTCAAAATGCCATCAATAAAATTCACCTGTGTTCGTGTCAGGTTTCTTACCTGAGATGGGAGTCTGTAGCGCAGATAGCAGATATGTTGCTCACTCTTGCAGATAGACACAGTCCAAGGTTAGCCAGAGAATAAGCCACTTGGACTGTGATTCTGTGCACGGAGGCTGTGCAGGAAAGGGGATTCCAATGCAATACCGACAAGGACACAAACAGCAGGATAGTCAAGGGATAGCCGAAGTCAAAGGATGCCAGAGGTCCGGATTACTGAAGTGTAGCCAAAGTCAAGGGATGCCAGACGTCAGGATAAACAAAGTCTTCTTAATATGCCACACCTGTGAGGTGGATTATCTTTGCAAAGGAGAAGTGCTCACTAACACAGATTTAGACAGATTTGTGAACAATATTTAAGAGAAATAGGCCTTTTGTGCACATAGAAAAAGTCTATAAGTATATATATATATATATACTTAATAATATTATAAAAAGTGAGTTTAAAGCGGCACTGTCATGCCGAATCCTGTTTTTTTTTTAACCCCCCTCCGGCCTCCACTATCTCTAATTGAACCCCTAGTCACCCCCAAATACCCCTAAGCCCCCCACATTACCTATTTTTTATTCCTTATTTTCTGCCCCGATCTTTATTCAGGGCGCAGCCATCTTTGTGTGGGTAGAGGAAGTCCCTGTGGGACACGTCATCAGCCCACATTAGATAGACTGTGAGATTCCCGCACATGCCCAGTGAAACACCTGGACATGTGAACGGGAATTTCATCTATTCATTCATTCATCAGACAGACGAATGAGGGAATAGAAATATCAGACGAACAAACAAACACTGAGTATCAGTGTTTGTTTGTTCGTTCAGTTTATTACAAGGAGGGAGCTACCGGCGTGCAGCTCCCTCCTTGTAATATGTAACTATAGAAGCGTCAGGGAGCAGTGCTCCCCGCCACTTTATAAGCCCCCCAGGCCCCCCTCACTCTATGGGGGTCAATATGACCCCCATAATAGCACAAGGGAGATTAAAATCTCCACAATGCCCCTACTCGCGGTATAGCGGCATGTCCACTAAACAGTGAGCAGCCTGTGGCTGCTCACCATAAAAAAAACAAAAAAAAACTATTGGCCCCCACCTCTAAACGACGGGTGGGGGCCCTAAAGTAAAATAAGGGGGGAGACCCTGTGGAAATCAGTCTGCGCGGAGCCCTCCATGGGTGAAGATGGATTATTTTTTTGCGCTCGGGTTTTTTCTTTTTCGTCATTTTTTTTTGCGCTCGGGATTTTTATTTTATTTTAAGTTCGACTGTTATGATGGTTTTTTATTTGACCTTTTTTTGGGGCTGAAAAATGAAGATTTGAGAAAAAAGAAGACGTCGAATGGTAAGTTTAATTTTACTTTACAGGTTAGTTATTTTATTCCCCCCTCACTATTTTTTAAGGTGAGGGGGGTAGGTAGGGACTTTTTATTTGGGTGGGGGGGTGGGTGACTAGGGGCTTGGGGACCCCTAGTCACCTTGGGGGGGGAAATTTATTTAGGGCCCCCACCCGCCGCCCAGGGGTGGGTTCCGGGGGAGGACAGTAAGTCCCCCCTCATTATCTTTATAATTTACCGCCACCCGAGTGGGGAAGAAGGAACAGTATGTCCCCCCCTCATTATCTTTATGGCCCCCACCCGCCGCCCAGGGGGAAGGCCGGAGGGGGGGTGGACAGTAGGTCCCCCCCCTCATGATCATTATGGCCCCCACCCACCGCCCAGGGGTGGGGGCCGGGGGGGAGGACAGTAGGTCCCCCCCATCATTATCATTATGGCCCCCACCCACCGCCCAGGGGTGGGGGCAGGGGGGGCAGTAGGTCCCCCCCCACCTCATTATCATTATGGCCCCTGCTGGTCAAGCGGAGGAATCCTCCATAAGGCAAAGAGTCCCTACTTTGTCTTATGATTTTAAAGAAAACTAAAGAAGACAGGAAGAAATGAAGAACAGATCCTGAGAGAGGGGGAGAAGAGGAAGAGATTGAGGAAAGGTAAGTTCGGCATGACAGTGCCGCTTTAAGTAATATTTTTATATATATATATATATATATATATATATATATATATATATATATATATATATATATATATATATATATATATATATATATATATATATATACTATTAATAATGTTGTTTTTCTGTCCTCCCTTAGATTATTGAGTCCCTCCCTAATAAAATAATGTATTACTTAAACTCAAAATTTAACCAACATTTACTTCGTCTTGCTGTAGCCATTGCTTCATCACTTCTGGCAATATCATTCTTGATTATCTCAAGCCAATACAATAACTCTCATAGAGAAACATAAAGTGGCCGCACGGCACACACACAGCAGTTACCCCACTCTGCCCATTGGATACTTTGAAATAGTAAATTTAATGCTTCTCTATGAGACGTATTAACAGTGTTCTCTGGTGTCAAATGTTCAGACTTTGAATGAATTCATTAATTGACAGTCATTACATTTGTGCATAGATTTGTGTATTTCTCTGTTTTATTCCAATGGAGATACTGACAAAACCTGGACTGTTGGTGGTCCATGAGGATTGGGTTGGAGAACAGTGCTCTAGACCATATAACTATTTAATCACATTGAATTGGTTATAGTGCCTGGCATGGGCGTCCACGGGGAGGGGGGATGGGGGGGGCTTGTGCTGATATTTTTTGTTTGTGTGAGAATACACTGCAATACTGGCGCTGTGAATGTTAAAAGGCAGAAAGCTACAGCTTATCCCTGCCTCTCGCTCATGACTGAAACCGCAGAGGAGCAGCACAGAGGCAGCCTACAGAGCAGGTAAGGGAGGGATGGGGGGCACTATTACCCCCTCACCAACCTCAGCATTACCCCCCTCACCACCGTCAGCATCAGCCCCCCTCACTATCACCCCCTCTCACACCCTCAGCATCACCCCCTCACTATAACCCCTCTCACACCCTCAGCATTACCCCCCTCTCTCAGCATCACCCCCTCACCACCCTTATCACCCCCCCTCCTATCACCCCTCCTCAAACCCTCAGCATTACCCCCTCCCTCAGCACTCACCCCCTCACCACCCTCAGCATCAGCCCCCCCCTCACTATCACCCCCCTCTCACACCCTCAGCATCACCCCCTCACTATAACCCCTCTCAAACCTCAGCGTACCCCCTCCCTCAGCATCACCCCCCCTCACCACCCTCAGCATTACCCCCCTCACCTCACATCACCACCCCTCAGCATCACCCCCTCCATCCCAGCATCACCCCTCACTATCACCCCCTCACCACCTCAGCATCACCCCCCCCCTCACCACCCTCAGCATCACCCCCCCTCACCCCCTTCCTCCCAGCATCACCCCTCACTATACCCCTCAGTGTACTCCTCCCTCAGCATCACCACCCTCAGCATTACCCCCCCTCACCATCACTCCCTCCCTCAGCATCACCCCCTAACCACCCACAGCGTACCCCCATCACCCCTCCCTCAGCAGCACCCCCTCCGTCACCATCACCCCCCTCCCTCAGCATTACGCCCCCTCACCATCACTCCCCTAAGCATCACCCCCACCATCACCTGCCTCTCACCATCACCATCACCCGCCTCTCCCTCTCACCATCACCCGCCTCTCCCTCTCACTATGACCCCCCTCTTTAAGCAGCTACCCCATACACATAGGGTATCAGACAAAAACGCAAACATGCTCACAGAGACATACATTCACACACACACACACACACACACACACACTCTCTGTCAGACACATTCTCAGGCCCATACACAGGTAAACTGTGCATCAATGTGTATATGTGACAGTGTGCATGTATTGCAACTCTATTTTTTTCACTTTTTTGTTAGTGGGGTCTCATGTTTGAGTTTTGCCTAAGGCCTCATAAAGTCTAGAGCCGCCTTTGCAGAAGGAGCCTCAGAAGAAAAAGAAGACTGTGTCAAATGAAGGAGAAGAAAATGAGATTGGAGCACTTCATTCTGGACAGCACATCATAAGGCTATGGTACCTGGGCCTGACAGGGAAACTTTAGACCTTCTCATCTCCCCAGGTAAAAAAATAAATATCAGTGTTAATGTGTTCACTTTAATTTACTGAGTGTCAGGAAACACAGAGGGCCACTAGGTAGGGGTGCCACTGATTGGCTAGAGGGTCAGCTGGCACTCTAAGCCAATCAGTAGCTCCCCATTCATGAAAACGTAAAACATTTTTATGAATCGGGAACTAGCGATTGGCTTAGAGCGTCAGCTGACCACTCTATGCCTGATCAATCTGCACTTCCTGACACTCCGTTTAAGAAGCTGAATACCACTGAGCGACCTGGAGATCTGGAGCTGGAGGAAGCCTTTGGGGGTAAACCATTTGAGAGTGGTATCACCCCTTAAAGGAAAGAGAGCGCCCAGGGCCTCTTTGCATCATAGCATTTTCATTTAGTTGAAGTTGTTATGGCAACCAGAATGTTCCTTTAATTTGCTTAAAGGAACACTATAGTGTCAGGAATACAAACATATATTCCTGACACCATAGTTGTAAAAAAGCTATTCACCCTGGCTTTATGTGATAATGGCTATGCCCCTTCCCTTTCATGACACTGTCAAAAAGGGGCCAAGCGTGGATGTCATTACAATTATGCCCCCCCCCCCGGAAAAATTCCTGTGGACGCCCATGGTGCCTGGAGTCCCCTGAGCGAGTGTCCCTGGCGGCTCTGACTGGAGTTATGGTTAAGGCAGAGAATACACCCTTCCTTAGTCATACCAATTAACTTCAGCAATGAAAGTTGAGATAGATCGAAAGTGGCCAGGTGACACTCTTATCCAATCACCACAGCCCATTGCTTTCTCTTTATACAAAGTAGAAGAGAGGGGACAAGCTGCTGGGGATACCCATTCAGCATTAAAACATTAAAAGAGATTAAACTAAATGACGGCAGGTATTAGATTTGAGCTTATTACAAAGTTTGTACAGAATATTCTTACCTGTTACAAAGAGGTGCACTGAGGCCTTTTCTGAAACGTTTGTGCTGTAGAAACATTCGTAGGTCCCAGTTTGCGCATTTGTTGCCCCGGTAATTTCCAGCATGCTCATGGTGTCATTGTTTGTAACTTTTATTTTTTTTGATAAGCTTGGCATCTTCCATGTCACAGTCTGTGTCCCAGAGCAATTTAAAGTAATGGATTCTCCTTTTTTGATAATAAGCTCTTCTCCAACAGGTTCAATAACTGGAGAAGCCAGAGCTGTGATAAAAAGATGTCAGAAAAAACAAAACTGTTATTTGAATTAAAATGTTTTATTACATTAAAAACTGTAGCAATATTGCAGTCAATTAATTGCTTCTCATTTTCAATTAAGCATAAAATAACAGAAACCAACTGTTAATCTTCCCGTGTGTTCTTTGATAATATGGAAAGAGACAGATAAGAAAAAAAAAAGGGTCCAGATCATAATTAACCCCTTCAGGACGGAGTCAATAGTGCACGTTCTGTTCAAAACAAAACGTAAACAAAAACTGGAATTTGCGCTATATGTCTGTTCAACCGTAATTCACCGCTGTCACATTAAGTGCACCCACACTTATTATATACCATTTTGTTCAGGAGAAACAGGGCTTTAATTTATAATTAACTATTCATATATGAAACATAATTTATTATGAATAAAATTTAAAAAAATGTGAGAAAATAAGATTTTTTTTTTTTATTTATTTGTATTTCCGTCTGACATTTTAGCTGTGAATGTCATAATACTGTTAGGTTTTACTGCAAAAAAATGCACATATTTTATGTTTAGTCTTTTTTTTTTTTTAGTAGCCACTTAGTCACAAACACTGGCCAAAGTTAGCGTTCATATTTGTTTTTGTGTGAAAAAAGCAAAAAATTAATATTTCGCCAGTGTTTGTGACTAAGTGGCTACTAAGAAAGACTGGACATACCCCACTTGCAATACCTTGGGTTGTCTACTTTTGCAAATGGTATGCCATCATGGGGGTAAATCTCATTCCTGGGCTACCATACGTTCTCAAAGGCAACGTAACCAATCTGGCAAATTTCAATGTCAAAAAAATGAAATGCAAGCCTTATATGTGACTCTCTAACTTTCCAAAACACCATAAAACCTGTACATGGGGGGTACTGTTATTCTCGGGAGACTTCACTAAACACAAATATTAGTGTTTTAAAACAATAAAACATATTACAACAATAATATAGTCCATAAAAGTGCCGTTCGTTTGTAAAAAATGCAAAAAACTTCACTTTTACTTAAAATATCATCGTTGTAATACAATTTACCAGTTTGAAACACTAATATTTGAGTTCAGCGAAGTCTCCTGAGTAAAACAGTACCCCCTATGTACAGGTGTTATGGTGTCTTGGAGAGTTACAGGGTCAAATATAGTGCTTGTGAATTAAATTCTCTGCACTTTCTCCCTGTGTTGTCAGGCATTTCAATCAAATTTTAATTAATCAAATCACATAATTATGTTAAAAGATTACTTAAATATACATGTAGAATTTTAATATATATGCATTTATAGGTATTTAAATTTTACGTGTATACTAATGTTATCTTTTATGTAATTATATGTATTTATCTATATATTTATATTTGCAGTTATTTGTATTTTATATATAGATAGATATATATAGAATGTCATTCTAAGTGTATTTTGTTACCAATATATACATATTAATAACAAAATACAGTTAGAATGAAATTACATATGAATATATAATTTATATTAAATTTTGTTTCAAAATTTTATTTATTTATTTTATTATTTTATTTATTTATTATTGCAATTATACGTATATATATATATATATATATATATAATATATGTGTATATATCTATTATATATATATATAATATATATATATATATTATATATATGTAACGTCATTCTAAGTGTATTTTAATACTAATATATATATACTTATATTAATATTAAAATACACTTTGTATGACGTTACATATATATAACAGATATACATATATTATATATATATATATATATATATATATATAAATACATTTATTTTATTTTTAAACATGTTGAATTCTTTTTTTTTACTTTCCCACCAGCAGGGGGACTGTATGTTTACATTGAGGGTTAATCCCTGACAGCCACTAGAGGTCGCTTTTGCGATTCTCAGTGTGAAGATTGCATTGAACTCAAGTTGGATGTCCATAGGAAAACATTAATTAAGGTAAATGGCTGAAGGGGTATTGCACAGGGAAAACAGGACTCTGTAGACCTTCTTTTCCAGTACTTAAGTAATGCGGCTATGAAAGATTATTGTGTGTAAAGAGCCCAAAGCAAAGTTCTGAAAGTGGAACACAACACCACCGAGATACCAATGTTGATTTCCCCACAATTTAAACTAAGTGACAGAATTGATATTCAGGAATAAACTCTAGCTCTTTTATTGAAGGCAGAATTTGTTAAACTGTGACAACACTTTGATCAGCCTTACTTCAAAGACTACTATACATTTTTATTTTGCCGTAAACAAATTATACATCCCTTTATGAAGCTCTAAATTTCGGCAATATTTAGAGTAATCACACAGAATTAAAATCTAAACAAACCTTATTTCTTACCTGCTGGATAATTAATCCCAAAGTTATGATAAGTACTATAAATACTATGAACTTTTTTGTAACTGTATTATCTAACATAGGTGGATCATGTGGCTTAGAAGAGGCACACTATGGATGAATGTGGCTGGGGTGGAGTGGTACTGGGCAAGGATAAGGTTGGGGTAGAAGTAGACCGGGGGTCCATTTGGCTGGGAAGGGATATGGCTGATATTTATTGAAAAGCGATGGGACTGGGGCAGATTTACAAGAGAAGGAAGGGACCGGTTGTAGATTAATGGGGAATAGGGCTAGGGTGTATGAATTTATGAGTATGGCAGGTGGATAGGGTAGGATTAATGGGGGAATGCAATTAGGGAATTGCGGAATTAGTAAAAAAAAAAAAGCAATTAGGAAAATATTGGGGTAACTGTACTGGGTAAATGGCTATATTGTTTTTATAAGTAATAGATCAATATCAGGTGATATTAACTGAGTGACAAAGAAAATTAGGAGATGAGTTGGAGAGTCAGTCAAATGCACATATTACATGAGGGAGCGAGCAGTAAGGGGAATATAGATTTTATGGCTTGATGGGAGTAAGAGTTATATTGTGTGGGTGTAACTTCATGAGGCGGAGCTCTGGTGGATGGGAGAGAGCTTCATAGTGCCCTGAGCCAAGCAACAACATATCTTGAGTCACTCTTCATATAAGTAGCGGTTTTCAGACCATTGAGATTGATGAAGGTTATACATTTTGCTAAAATAGTAAATTAAAATTCCTTGTTTTGTTTAACTTGTGTTCTTTATGTAGCTTTATATATAGCAGCTGTATCAGCTTTAAGTTACACAGTGACATTCACTTTCGCATGCACGCAGTTTGCGTGTGTTACCAAGAACTATATTTTGCAATGTAGATGTTAAAAAAAACACAACTTCTACAGGATTAGGTTTTATTTTGTTAATTCAGCACAAATCCCTTGCTATGTTGGAAGACAGGGAAGTGAGACTTTTAGAGCAGCATTAGAATTGAGAGAAGTTGTCTGCCCATTACATAGACACTTTGTAAGACTCAGGAAACATATTGCTCAAGGAAATTGATGCTTGTTCCCACTTACTTTAAAATACCCATTTTTTACTTCACTTCTGCTTTCACACACTCCCCCACACTGTTCCAGAACTGTTGTTACTATCAGCACTACCAAAACAAGACTGACCCTTAAAAGATGTCAACCCATGATTTTCTGGTACACATATCGTAGCATGGAGTCAATCGTCATTTGTAATCTGGATGACATAAAGCTTTGTTACAAATATTACAACAGCTTGAAAACGACTAATATTTGTTTCCTTTTTGGATATACATCGTTATTTATTCGTTAGTTAATGAAAACACACCTTTCTAATGTTACTTTCTAATGGAATTTAGACAGTTTCTTTTTTTCTCCCCTCTTCTTGAAGGGATACTCCAGAAAGCAGTTGTCTCATTAATATTTAATGCAACATAAAATAAAATAAATAATAAGAAACAAAATAGTTGTTCACATTGGGAGTTCCTACATTTGTAAATTTGCTGCAAATCAGCAGGCTTTGCAGTTTCTGCAATGGCACAGCTAGTTATGCTGCCTTTTTTAACTTATGTGGCACCACTGAGTTTATTCTATAAATGCCTGCAGAGTGCTAAATGGACACAGGAGGGTGTTCCGAATGTTAAATTTCAGAAAACAAACATGATCTGTTTTATATGCAACCTTTAGATACAGCTGATGTGTGGGTGGAAATAGGTGCCAGGGGCCACGTGCCCACAAGTAACAAATACCAAATATGTAATGCACTGTGAAACTTGGGCAGGAAATGGAGTTCTCACCTCACAGTGCCAGGTAGGCTTCAAATACACTGCAGCTAGTGAGTGAGAGTGATCTTGTGTGTGTGTGTGTGCGTGCTTGCTGTTGTGAACATGTGTGTGTGTTTGCTTGCTGTTGTGAACATGTGTGTGTCAGTGAGCATGTCCGCAGTGAGCATGTATGTGTGTGTCAGTGAGCGTGTCTGTATTGAGCATGTATGTGTGTGTCAGTGAGCATGTCTGCAGTGAATATGTATGTGTGTGTCAGTGAGCATGTCTGTAGTGAGCATGTATGTGTGTGTCAGTGAGCATGTCTGTGTGTCAGTGAGCATGTCTACAGTGAGCATGTATGTGTGTCAGTGAGCATGTCTCCAGTGAGCATGTATGTGTGTGTCAGTGAGCATGTATGTGTGTGTCAGTGAGCATGTCTGTAGTAAGCATGTCTGTGTGTCAGTGAGCATGTCTGCAGTGAGCATGTCTGCAGTGAGCATGTATGTGTGTGTCAGTGAGCATGTCTCCAGTGAGCATGTATGTGTGTGTCAGTCAGCATGTCTGCAGTGAGCATGTATGTTTGTGCCAGTGAGCATCTCTATAGTGAGCATGTATGTGTGTGTCAGTCAGCATGTCTGCAGTGAGCATGTATGTTTGTGTCAGTGAGCATGTCTATTGTGAGCATGTATGTGTGTGTCAGTCAGCATGTTTGCAGTGAACATGTATGTGTGTGTCAGTGAGCATGTCTGTAGTGAGCATGTATGTGTGTGTCAGTGAGCATGTCTGTAGTGAGCATGTATGTGTGTGTCAGTGAGCATGTCTGTGTGTCAGTGAGCATGTCTACAGTGAGCATGTATGTGTGTGTCAGTGAGCATGTCTCCAGTGAGCATGTATGTGTGTGTCAGTGAGCATGTATGTGTGTGTCAGTGAGCATGTCTGTAGTAAGCATGTCTGTGTGTCAATGAGCATGTCTGCAGTGAGCATGTCTGTGTGTCAGTGACCATGTATGTGTGTCAGTGAGCATGTCTCCAGTGAGCATGTATGTGTGTGTCAGTGAGCATATCTGCAGTGAGCATGTATGTGTGTGTCAGTGAGCATGTCTATAGTGAGCATGTCTATAGTGAGCATGTATGTGTGTGTCAGTCAGCATGTCTGCAGTATGCATGTGTGTGTGTGTCTGTAAGTGAGCATGTCTGTAGTGAGCATCTTTGTGTATAGGAATAAGTTTGTCTGTAGTAAGCTTGTGTGTGTGTCAGAGTTATTACTAAGTTTGTGTACCTGTAAGCTTGTCTGTGTTTGTAAATGAGCTTGTGTGTGTCAGTGAGATTGCCTGCCTGTGAGCCTGTGTACCAGTGAACTTGTGTGTGTGCTTGTGTCAGTGAGATTGTCTGTGCCTGCATGTGAGTATACTTACTGTATAATTTAATCTTTTTTACCCTGAACAGACTAAATACATACCAATAATAAAAGTATATATATATATATATATATATATATATCCTATAGTTATAATGTTAAATATCCCTTTATAACATTTCAAATATGGCGTTGTCTTGCTACCCTAGATTGATTAGTTCTAATTTATAAACATAGTTTTTCTATATATATATATATATTTATAAAATCTATGTAAAAAAATGTATTTCAGCCTTCTAAGTCATTGTTCCACGGTAGTACACATCAGCCAAAATACATATAGTAAAAACCAAAGAAATAAGTTACCTGCGCTCTTTCCACATCCCTATGTATTTTTAAACAAATGGAGGTTTTTAGTTACCTCCAATGGCCATGAGAGGGTATGTCCACCTGCCACGTAAAGACAGACCTCGTAGGTGGGTCCTAATGCTAACCATTCGCCTTGCTTTCTTGAGCTTCTGGTAAAAATATCTCTAATGAGACAGAAGAGGGTATTTTTTATATACATCTCTACATGCTTATTAACCCTTAATAGGGAACTCATGGGATGGGCAGCTGTGTGATACAAAAGTGAATACAAATACAAAGAAACTAGTCCTGCGCTCAAACTCCCATTACTCCTGGGCGGCAGCAATAACTATAGTACACATCAGCCAAAATACATATAGTAAAAACCAAAGAAAAAAAAGTTGAGTTTCTGGCAAAAAAGCAAGGCGAATGGTTACAGTTAGGACCCACCTAAGAGGTCTGCCTTGACGTGTCAGGTGGGCATACCCTCTCATGGCCATTGGAGGTAACTAAAAACCTCCATTTGTTTAAATATACACAGGGATTTAGGAAAGAGCGCAGGTAATTTTTTTCTTTGGTTTTTACTATATGTATTTTGGCTGATGTGTACTATGGTTGTTGCTGCCGCCCAGGAGTAATGGGAGTCTGAGCGCAGGACTAGTTTCTTTGTATTTGTATTCACTTTTGTTTCACACAGCTATGTTACAATGCTGCCACCCATCCCATGTGTTCCCTATTAAGGGTTAATAATATATAGGGGTGTATATAAAAAATACCCCTTTCTGTTTCATTAGAGATATCTTTGCCAGAATCTCAAGGAAGCAAGCTAAATGTTTAGAGTTAGGACCCATCTGGGGGGGTCTGCCTTGATGTGGCAGGTGGGCATACCCTCTCATGGCCATTGGAGGTAACTAAAAACCTCCATTTGTTTAAAAATACACAGGGATGGGGAAAAAGCGCAGGTAACTTTTTTTTCTTTGGTTCCACGGTAGTGCTTGTGTGTGTGTGTGTGTGTATTTATATTTACATATATATGCATTTTTTCCAGGGCTCTGCTCTTGCAGGCAGCGCTGGTAGCACCTATCTCTCTTCCTTATTTGATCCCTTCCATCTGCTTCTTTTCCTTAATACTTGTTTGGTTTTAATCCCATTCCTATGTCCACCCCGGCCACTGTACACCCTCAGTCGCAACTTCTCTCCTCTCCTCATCTCAAAGTACACACATACTATACAGGGGTTGAAAAACCAGTATGTATAGGCAACCACCCAGTTGGGGCTAGGGTCCCAAGGCACAGTGAGGCTAATGTGTAGAACATAAGCAATTTCAGCGATAACTTACTATAACAGTGTTATTCACGGTTATTCTCATTTACAGCATTTTTCACACATGCATCTAATTTCTGTAGTAAAATTATTTTGCAGGTATAGTGCTACCAAAATAATAAATAAAACTTGTCTTTTTACATGTATGTAAATATTTAAAGGAAAGGATTACTAGAAGTCTTTTTCATAGAAAGTATTTATATGCTAATAATGCCCTTTTGGTCACTATAGCAATTGTCTACCCCCTTTTATTTTTATCATAAAAAAGGTTAAAACTTTACTAGAATCCTGCGCCAGGTGAAGCTACCCGTGCTGGTTTTGCCCACCCCGTCTGACATTATGCCTTGTCTTCCATGGCCCATTAAAATTAGGAGGGTAGGGAGTGTGTGGACAGGAAAGGGAGTCAACTAGAGAGAGCTTTACACACACAAAAAAAATCTGAATGCACAAAATGGAGGGAGGTGGAGAGGTCTGGGAGGGACTGCACGGAGAGAGGAGATTAAGCTTCCTCTTGCAGGCTCGCTCTTAGTGCTGCTTGCAAGGGGAGAATCTGACAAAGTCTGTCATAAATGTGCAATGCGTGCTGACAACAGACTTACTTTTTACACAGAATTGACATTAGGCAGCCCTGAACAGAGTTCTGGGCTGCCTAAGTCACGTGTGCAGGGGGTGTAACTAGCCCTTGGCACAATTATATCTGTATGTATTTCAAACAGAAATGCTCCACATACAGACCCCTACCAACATGACCACTTCTAAAAGCAAAAGTAGTCATGGTGGTTGGGGTAATCCTCTAAGTACTTTAGTATCTGCATGTTTTCCAGGTTTTTTAAAGTTACAGGGCCAAATTAGGGGCTAGAAATGGCCTGAGAGTTCTCAGCCTGGGATTTTTCTTAATCTTATTTCACATTGGAGTTATTTGATAACCCACCACAAATTACTCTCATCATTATGTAACATTCACAAAGCTTAGACAAACAAGGCTGTCTTACAACATGTATTATAAGTCTTCTACTTGTTCTATAGTCTTACATTTTAGCATCCTGTAGTGGTTATGGTGCTAGGAGTGCCCTCGCACCACCACAATGTAAGTAGCCACACCATTTGCTAAGAGTTTGATTTCTTACCTAGGGTCTGCCAAGTGGCACTCTCTGCCGCCAACAGGAGCTTTTGCCAAGATTTTTTGTTAGCTCTCCTGAGCTAATCTCTGCTGTGCCCAGCTGTTCTCTTGCAGAGAATGAGCTCAGTGAAGAAAACTTCCAGCTGCAGAGAGCCAGGGAGTAAACGGTTGGGCCACTTATATTAAGGTGCGCCAGGGCACTCCAGCACCATAAATGCTACAACATGCTGTAGTAATTAAGGTTACTTTAATATTAAATGAACACTATAGTGACAGGAATATAAATGTGTATTCCTGACACTATAGGTTTGAAAACACCATATATAGAAAAGCCCCACTTGCCTCACATGAAAAATGTATTTTACTCACGCTTTTGCAGCACTGTGCAGGTTTCCTCGTGGCTGGCCCTGCCCACACTTTGCCTCCTTGACCCAGGAAGCCTACCTTATCCTATATTTTAGTTAGAATGCAACAGAGCATAGACCTGAACTGCGCGTTTAATAAGCTTTACTCAAAGTATCTATTATAGTAAGTAAGATAAAATACCATGTCTCTTTATGGAGTTCAGGAAGGACAGACTCAAGTATCTTTCCATCCTGAGCTGTAAAAGCAATTGGGCTTTAATTAAATCCCAGGGTAAGTCATTTGCATTTTTCCAATTACAAGCTAAAATAGTCTTAAAGGCAATAAAACGGTGCATGATAAAGTTCTCATTTTTCCAAGACATCTTTGGCCAGTGCATGTGTAGTAAAACAACAGCACGGTGTCTCTCCAGATTTATATTTGTTTATAACTAAAAAGTATATCTAAAGCATTTTTAATTCTCGAACAACCCAACCAAATGTGGAAAAAAAATACCCTCTTTCTGTAGACAGCACCAAGGAAAGGAATCCTCATATATACTTTCTAGTCTGGTCGGCACCAAGTACCATCTATGCATAACTTTGTATTTGATTTCTACTAGATTTAAGCATTGAACTTGTTTACCAGTAGTGTTAAGAAATTTACACCATGCATCTTGATCTAAAGTCTCTCCCATGGTTTCTTCTGAGATGTAGCTTCCACATAATTTATAACTTTAATTATAGCAATAGCTTTAGTTAATATCTTTGGAACTGTTTCGTTGCAAAAGATCTTTGTTAATGCCTTAGCAAGATTAAAGCTAATTTGTGTCAAATCATTTTGCAAATAGTGCTTGACTCTGAGATATGTAAAGATTTCAGAAATAGGCAAATGGAATTACTGGATTAAATTGCAAAGGGGATCAATTCGCCATGCTGTAAAATCTTTGAGTCTGGGTACTATGGACGTGTGATATCATATTGGCTAAGTAGTGAGATCTAATGTTTGGATAATTTAAACCACCATCGGCGGTACTTTAAGATTACATTTTTTTTATTATTCATAGACTTTTTACCTCTTCAAATAAAAGAGGAAAAGGTAATTTGTGGTAGGGCTAGCAAATCTATCTGGAAATGTTAGAGGAATGATTTGGAAAAAGGTAATTCCACTTCGGTAGTATATAGGAATTTACAACATAAATACTCCCCAACCAAGATATCTCAACATGCCTTCAATCTTTAAGTAAATGATTTGTGATTTTCAAGAGATTCATCAACATGATCTTCATCATTCTATCTATATTCTTAGTGATCATAATCCCCAAATAATCAAATTTCTTCCTTGCCCACACAAAACCATATCTCACTCGAATCTCATTTTGGATATCTTTAGCTAGTCGTATGCCCATTAGGATCATCTTGTCAATACTCAATTGGTAATTAGAAATAGTACTTATTGAATTCTTCCATCAATTATCTAAGGATTGTTTTATTATTATCTATTGTTAATAGGATATCATCCACATAGATGTATATTTTGAGCTCCTCATTCCTGACTTTATTTATAGCAAAAGGTTCTATTGAGAGTATATGTGTATATATATATATATATATATAATAAAGTGAACAATGGGCAACCTTGCCTGGTCCGTTTGACAATTGTGAACCAATCCAGATATAGCAGATATTTGGCCCAATAGTTCTGGCTGAGGGATTTTTATACAGAGTCATAATTGCTTCTAGAATCCAGTCTTAGATGTTATATGACTGTAAGGTATGATCTAAAAAATCTCCAAATTAGCCTATCAAACGCTTTTTCTGTGTCAATTGAAATAGTTAAAAGTGGAGTGCCCTTTCTCTTACAGCCATCGAGGATATCAATTATTCTCCTTGTATTAAAGTCTGACAATTTTCTGGGTATAAACTTGATTTGGTCTGATGAATTAATGTGTCTATTTTAAATGGTCAGCAACAACAGATGAAAACAATTTGACATCTACGTTTATTAAGGAGATAGACCGATAGCTAGAGACTTACTGAGGGTTTTTTCCTTTGTTTTAAATTGGGAAGAATGTCAACCCTGGTCATTTTGTCTGGGTAAAAGCTTATTTGGACAGTGTTATTGAATATTGGGGTCAAATATATGCTCAATTGGGTTTTAAAAGTTTGAAAAAATAGAAAGGTGAATTAATTTGGCCATGGCTTTTAGACATCTCCAATTTTAAGATAGCTTTCTCTACCTCTTCTTTGCTTATAGGTCTATTAAGATTAGACTGTTGTGACTTAGAAATATTTGGAATCTCGATTTTACATAAATAGTGTTCAACGAACGTTAGAGAAGTATCTGCCATCAAATTATATAATTGTCCATAATAGTTATTAAAACAGCTACCAATATTGGAGAGAGACATACATTTAGTTATTATGTATGATTTTTGTTATGCGTGAGCTATATTGTTTTCTAAGCTTATTAGAAAGGCAATAAAACCTATGTTTTAATTTACCCATATTTTTTTGCTACATTTTCATTTAAACATCGATAATCTTTATTGCACTTTCCTGTGTGGGATCATTTTTATTTTTTGCATCGATTTTATGTAAAGAAATGTATAGAGAAGACAGATCTTTATTTTTGTTATATTCATGTTTCATCTTAATTAAATGGTCTCCTAGCACAGATTTAAAAGCACACCATGTGTTAATATAAGAGGTGCCTGCATGATCCTTTTCTGTAAAAAAACAATCAATCAATATTTCTAAATTATCTTTGTTCATCTTGTTATATAGCAGGCTGTTATCTAATTTCCATGCTAGTCCATAAAAAGATCGTTATATACCTGCATTCATTTCTGAGAGTATTCATGCCCTGTGCATTCACTAAAATAAATGTAACCATATTCATAGGTTTATAACCAATGAAGCCCTAGCTCCACTGCACAACACCAGAGTAAACATAAAACACATATAAAATACAAATTGGTTTTGGGAATAACACAAGGGTCAATTCTAAAATAGAACACTAAAGAGTTCAGAGGTTCAACCTTGGGCGCTGTCGTACATGTCAGCATCATACCAACACATAACTAATGTCTTATTTAAGACACGAAGTAGGGGAAGAGAGGCATCCATAATTAACTCTCTGCAGACGTATCATCATCCATAGTAAATTTTATAAAAAATACTGTAAGTTGGAGAGAGAATGAAAAAATAAAATAAAGAGGGTGGTTTTACATGTCAGTTTCACCTATAAATCGGCTAGATTATTAACCTAACCATATCATGTCGGATATAAAACTAACCATGATGATCTATTGCCCTCTATGATCACCCAGAAAGATTAGGTTCCTAAGTCAATTCAAAAGCAGAGTATTAGAACAAATATTTTAGTGATTATGTGACTTTATATAATAAAATTTCTGAGTGATAAAATTTCAGAGAATGCAATCTCTGTGTTCTCTAAATTCTAAATAATATTAGTCATAAATCATAATCCAATGCACACATTATATCTACTCTGCCTGTTGAACGTGGTTGCAGCACGCAAAGAGAGCGCTCAGGTTTCATTTATAGGGCAGCATTTAATGCCGCTCTATGAAGAACGTGAATAGTGCAGTGTGAAGCCGCGCATTCGCACCAGATCGCTATGACGCTAAGAGAAGCATCTGAGCCCTGCTATTTCATCATTTTGACGAAAAAGGGGGCGCAGCCTGATGAGGATTTCGGTGTTGGAACAGAAGTTTTATCTATAATAAGGACTCAAAAATATTTTTTATTAAGGGGAAGTTAATATAAAAGCGAAAAAAGAAGGCTAGGGGACCTGTCTTTCTTGCTTTTATATGTTGACTATAGTGATCCTTTAAGGGTTAGATCAGTGTCCCACCTGAGGTAGGCATAGAAAACATTTGGGCAAAGAAGCAGATAAATATGAAGAAAATTATTTTTTTACTTGCTTTTTCTGCCTGCAGAATGAGACAGTTTTTTCTCACACTAAAAAAGAACTTTATAGTTTTTTTGAGTTTGTTTCTCATTGTGTGTCTTTTCATATGGAAACATTGACCAATTATTCCCTGTGCGAAGGATATGATTGGTAACACCTCTGGCATGCAATTATCTATTTTGTCCTCTTGGAAGCATTTAGAAAAGTGTATTTTTTCCTCACTATATGCAAATTGATGGTTTTTCTCAGAAGAAATTGCACTATGGAAATGTTCCCAAATGCTAGAAGTTGTTCTCACCATTTTTAGGAACAGGTAAGGAAACAAAAAAACAATTTAGCAATCAGATTTAGTGATGGGGAGGGGTTGCATCAAAGCAGAACATCAGTAGGAGTCAGGTCATCATTTTGAATAAACAAATTTAAGATACATTAATGAATTTAATATGCAGTTAGTTTTTCAAAATTCAGAGGAATTACATTTGTTATTTTTCAATTAAGGCCTGGATGGACAAAGACCTCAATCAACTATTGAGCAAAATAAATTGAAACCTTTTTCCCTGCATAAGCCCTAGAGACAGAAATTTATTTTTCTTTTTTATTTGAGTATTACATCCTCATAAGTTTATTTGCCAACAGGGTTATTGAGAAAAATCCTAATGGCTCATACTGAATGAGGAAAAAATATCCTGCTGCATACAGAGCCATTCATACTTTTAAATTCAGCTTATTCACTGAACGGGTCAGTTGCTAGGAATATTCCCATGGCAAGTCTTGAGAGATGTGAAACTTGCCGGTGGGAGCGCTCAGATTGGTTGGTTTACAAGCCAACCAATCAGAACGCTCTAATGAGCATTCAAACCATGGAAAACTTTTAACAAGACTTTTCCCACTTTGAAACTTCATTCTGAGTGGAGCCCTTGCATCTAGTTCATAATTATTTGTGCGTATTGGGCGTTTTTTATTTTAAATAATTCAATTACGGATGGTAAGTATAAGTATATGTTTTAATTAGAGCCATCACCCACTGCTAATGGGTGGGAACATTAGGTCCCCCTTGATATTATAACAGCCCCCATCTGCCAGTATTAGGTGGGGGCGGGGTGGGAACATTCGATCTTTCCCCTTTTAGTAGTAGCCCCTGAATGCATGGTATTGTAAGTGGGAAATCTAGTTATGATCCATAATGCATTGAATGTACAATTTCATCCATAATTTGGAAGAAGTCTCCAGCTCCTGTTTGTCTGTTTTAGCCTGAAGAGTGGAACTTCCCACAGTTCAAAGTTTTGTGAATAAACCCCCAAGATAATTTAACATTCACTATTTGTAAAGTTCACATTTACAAGAGTGCTAAGTATCATAGCACTGCCTGCTTTCAAAGTCTTTCTAACAATCGTGACAAGTGGTTGCTTCATGGATGCTAATATTTTTGGGGAAATGTACAACCCACACTTCCTCTGTTTACAGTAATATCATCAATGTCCATGTCTGTATTGTGTAACACTGTTCCATAGCTTCCTGAAGATTATTTGTACTATCAGCAGTTTAGATATGCACTCAGCCTTTATCATCCACTCCTGTAGTGCAAGGCCATTGTGACATAGTATGAAGAAGGTGTCAGGATTTTATCAACAATTAAATGGAGAATATGCAACATGCAACAGGTTTGCTGGAGTTCACAACTATCTTGGCTTGTTTTAGCTTAAGACGTTTAGATATATAGATATAAATATATTTAATACTGTTTTATAAGGTTGAAGTTTGAGGAGAAAAATAAAGCATATGCCATGATTAATAATGTCAAATGTTTTTTTTTTTTAAAAGGACATTTTGTGAAAAATTCTTTTAAATGGACACTCCAGAACCCTAAAGCACTTTCCCTTCCCGAAAAGTTTTCTTTTTTTTTTTATTCTTTTTTTTTGGTGCAAAAAGACTTTACAAGCATACCCGTGTAGCCACGACAGCAGACACAGGCAGGTTAATGCAGACACGTTCATGGCATGATACATTTGCAAATTTTTGTTAGATAGGAATATAACAGGTTATTATACAGGTTATGCTTATTTGAAATAACGTGCTAAGTAGTCAAGCATATCAATAGGTAAACATGAGATTGGTATTCCGTTTTGTCCGTTTGGTATGATGCTAACATGTTCTGGACCTGAGGTAACCTCCTTGAGTTAACTAACGAGCTATACATTCAATATACTTAACTTAAGTTATTCAAGAATACATTGTGATAGTCTGAACGAGTGATCTATAAGAGAGACCCCCTGGGATCCCCGACATGGGCTAACAAAGACATGAAACAAAATAACGAGAGTAGGTGTCATCCAATAATGTACTTGGCCAAACGAGGCATATATATAAAAGAAAAAAAAAAGAAAAAAAAATTGCATTTTCAACTTTGCATACTTTTTATATAGAAATGAGAGCAAGTCACTAATAGGTGAGTTACGCACAGGTTTGTGGTGAATACCATATTGAGTGATGCATTTATATGTAAAATTACATTAGGAATGTTTTCCAATTTGGGTGATTTTAATTGGTGGTGCGATCGCACTAGCCGCGAATTTAAGTGGCCTTACATGGCGGTAGGCTAATTTGCCAGTCCAATTGTTAAGGGCACAACTTTATTAAAAAGGAAGGAAGAAGAAAAAAAAATTATATAAACTTATTAATACCAGTGTAATCGTACAGTAGCCATCTTGTCTATATATCTATTATATGCTGAGCTGACCATAGTGACGTTTCTTTAGTCAATGCTCTAGATGCCTAACTAGGCTGCTCCATGGGCTGGGTCAGTTAATAAGCACTAGACAATAAACACCGACCAACTTTTGGGATCGATCTTTGAACCGTGGGACAATGGCTGTCGTTTAAGGAGTGTTATAGGCTGAGTGCCTGGGAGGTCTGTGGGGCAGGCCAAACCACCGTAGCGGTTATGACATATCTCGCTATATACACAACGCTAGACCTAGCAAAGTAAAGTAAACAGTACGATTGCGTCTATATGTGCCTATTTAGAGGCTAACTAAGTAGATTAGATGACTAATAAACAGATAATAGCTTGAAATTGTGGGTGGGCAGGCCTGATCATGTAAGTCCAAGCGACAAAGTTCCCTGGGGTCCCCCAGGCATGAGTCTCGTTCCAAGGGCTGGCAGAACCCATGAAAAATAATGGGTGGATAATAAAAAGGTGAGGAAAAAAATAAAAGTTTGTGTTGCAGTGTTGTGGCAGCCTCCATGGACTAGGAAAAGGATTGCCCCAGAGCCTGAGATGCAAATGTCTTGAGTCCTGGGGGTTACAAGTTATCCCTGTCTAGCACGGTAATCCAATGTTGCCAGGTGCTGGCAGTGCCAGGATTTGAGCGCGGGCGCCTCTGTTCTGCTTAGGTGGTGACCGCAGCATAGATGACTGGTGTAGGATTTCGAGGCACAAATGGTGCGCTGTTCGCCGGGTCCCAGCTGGTATTCGGTGTGGAGGGGGCCTGGAGGCCCGTTTGGAGGAGTGAGTCCCAGGTTAGGCCCAAGGCCAGTAGCAGCTCTGTTGCGTCTTGTGGGTCATGAATTTGGTGGGTGGTCTCACCCCTTTGCACGAGGAGTATGTGAGGGGACCTCCAGCGGTATGGGATCTTCTGGTGCTGAAGTGTGGCGGTGAGGGGTCGGAGCGATCTGCGCCCTGCCAAGGTTCCCCTTGACAAGTCGTTATAAAAGGTGAGTGTTGCATTCTCGAATTTCAAGGGAGTTTTACCTCGGAGGGCATTGAGGACCGTTGCCTTGTCCCTACCATCCTTAAAGGTCAGGATTGGGTCCCTTGTGCTTGCCACTGGGGCCCCAGTGGGCTTTGGGATCCGGTAAAGGTCTGTGGGTTCGATAGATGTGTTTTGTCCCGGGGGGAGTATGGCTGCCAAGAGGCTTTGAATTTTGTGTGGAAGATCTGCCTCTGGTGGTCCCTCCGGGATCCCCCTGACCTTAATATTGTCTCCTTCTCGTGTCTTCTTGGGCATCCAGGTGCCGTTCAAGTAGTGTGTGTTTGCGGTGCAGCTCCTGCATGTCACCCTGCAGTACGATGATGGTGCGCTGGTGGTTTCGAGAGGAGTCTTCCAGCACGGTAATACGGCCTATCAGGCCCTGCAGCTCTCCCCTTAATGCAGAGACGTCTGTGAGGATATTTTTTTGCAGGTCTGCTAGTAAGGCTTTCAGCACTCCGGTGGTGACTAGGTCGGCATCGGGGTCAGACCTTGGTTTGCCCGGTTTAGGTTTCGCTTTTGGTGAATAGTGATTTTTCTTTTATTTTGGATTTGGACAGTGGAGTGTCTCCTTAATATGACATGGTGTTCTTGACAATCCCGGGTATTGGTAAGGAAAGGGGAGGTAATGTTGTATATCCCCTAAAGATTGTCCCTATAAATCTCCTCTTGGTCGGAGAGTGGTGCAGGAGGATAGACTGGGAGCTGGGGCTTGGAAGTCCCTAAATGTCCCTAGGAAATGGCTAAGTATACCGGCGCCAGTGCAACAAATTATTGGAGCATAAGACATGCACATACAAAATCAAAGCTGCTTAGCATATCGTAATGGTCATAGAATATAAGGAAGGGCTAAAAACCTGGTTACGAGGGTTATGCTAGATAGGGCTTTTTTCGCTTGGTAACATATTTCCCATTGTATATACATTCCCTCTCTTCTCTACTGTGCTCTGTCTTGTTGGGTCCCTGACTCATTGAGATCTCTTTATTTTAGGCTTAAAGTGGTAAATGACAATATAAACAGTCATGTTAGATATAACACAGTACAAGCTGTATGTGCTTCATAATTAATCCTTTATCTTATCAAGAAAGTGTAAACTCTCAGAGTGCCAACCACATAACTGTTAAAGGGATACTATAGGCTTGAAAACTTCTTTAGGTTAATGAAGCAGTTCGGGTGTATAGATCATGCGCTTGCAATCTCACTTCTCAATTCTCTGCCATTTAGACGTTAAAAAGATACAATAGTAGAAGGAAAATAAACATCAGCGTTCACATTAGGACTTTATCCATAGGAAAACATTGTACAATGCTTTTTTTTTTTTATTCTTTTTTTTTTCGTGCTCGGTTACAACATTTAAGATATCAGACATTTCAAAAAGTTCAGTATGATGACAGGTATACAACATTTGCAAATATTCACACATAGCTTATGGTTATCATCAAGATATACATCGAAATGTGTTTGATCAGCACATTTTTATTATGAACATGTTCAGGGACAAACCCAGGGCAGGCTGAGATTGAACAGGCTAGTGATTAATGTGCGCTGCTCTCCCGGGATACTACAGGTGTGAGGTGGTAGGTATGCTCCCTTGTTAAACAAGTGGATATAAGGGCATGTTAGAGCATGTGTTTGTGTGTGCTCAGGCTGGTTACTGTGTGCTTGGGGGCTGCCAGCGTGTGTGTGCCAGAGGGCATCGTGTGCGGTGTGGTGGTCTTGCAAGTGTGGATATTGGCCGATGCGAGTTCAATGTATTGGTCTGTCATGCTTAATGTTACCCCTGACCTTAGGGGTGGTGGGGAGGAGGGGGCTAGTTAAGACGCCACCTAATTCTAGATAGCCTGATGGTTGTGGCTTCCATGTTTTAGTAAGGCCATTTTCTTTTGGGGGTTATTGGGGTTTCCTTCAGACGTTTGGTGTATGGTGTGTGCCACAGCATAAAACAAAAAAAAAATTAAACATTAAAAAAAAAACATATTTGAGTGAAATAAAAATCAAAACAAATGTTTTAAGTTTTGTGATCACGGCATTTGCTTGACTGATCACATTTGAGGATGTCCCAGTCCCTGATCAGTTTCAGGTATTTGGGAGCTGTAGGCTCCTTGTCGTTGTTCCGGCTGAGGTGCCGGCTGCAGGTTCCCAGTTTGCAGTTTGGTTTCCAGCTATTGACGGGAGTTGCCCTGGAGGAAGTCCTAGGAAAGCTGGGGCTCCAATCGGGGATGTGAGGTTGTGAGCAGTCCCAGAGTGCTGTACGAGTAATGAGACGGTGTTAACCCGTCTATATGGTATGTTGGCTTTACGCAGGGTAGTTGTCACTGGACCGAAAGGGTTTTACGCCGGATTAATGTGGCTCTGGTGAGTTCTTGAAAGAATAATAACTTTGAGTCCTCAAACTCTAATGGTGTTTTACCTTTCAAGGCGGTCATTATTTGTATCTTGTCATGTATTGTTACACACCGCAGGATGACGTCCCTGGAGGTATCGGGTGAGTTGAGGACAGAGCTTGTTACACGATATATACCATCCAGGGTGATTTTCTTTGCCACCGTTTGTGACAGGATTGATGTCAGGAGGCGCCGAACGTAATGCGGCAATTCTTCAGTAGTGATTGCGTTGAGTATGCTGCGGATTGTTATGTGTTTTTCGGCATTGTTTGTCTTAGAGGGACATTATTTGAGCTGCTAAGTCCTTCAGGGTGGTCACATTGTTGTGACACTTGCCATATCTTCTTCTGTGGCTGTGACTGGGTCTGTGACCTTTTGTATGTCTGTGACCTTTAGTGTGTTTGGGGTTGCCCTTTCATCTAGATCTGAGACGGGGGCCATGTTTGGCGGGTGTTCCGCGTGTTGGTGCGTCTCAGCAGCATTTTCCCAATGTCCCTACTTTGGGTGCTGATGCCTGTGGTAGGTTTCGGTGTGTGGCGGCCCATGGTTGGTGTGCCAGGTGGGGAGTATTCTGGGTAGTTGCGACCCTCTCCCGGTCCCCGAGAAGCGCCTCAAGGTTTAGGAGTGGCGTAGCGCAGTAGGCCGCAGTTTTGCGCTGCTGCCTGGGTTGCTTGGCGGCTTAAAAGAATGGCATCAATCTGTTCATCTCGCCGTCACAGTGCAATGTAAGTGCTTTTTGTGGATGGATGGTCCCTGTGTGGGGCGATTTTTCCCAGATTTTGTTTGGCTATCAGGGAGCAGGTAAGAATGGCATCTGGTCAGGCTCTGCCCCCCATACAATGCTTTCTTATAGGGTTTTTGGGTGATGCTGGTTGTCAGGGCCGGCCTTAGGGGAATGCGAGCTGGGCGCCATGGAGCATGCGGCGCCGTGTGGCCGACACAGCTCACACATGGCCGGCCGGGATAAAAAATAATAATAATTTTGCTTCCCGTGCAGTGAAGGCGGAGCAAAACTGACAAAGGGGCAGAAATAAAAGTGCCGGATATCTACTGCAGGGGAAGCAGGAAGGAGTCGCTGCTTCCCCAACAAACAGTCTCCTGGAGCTGCACTGCCTCCACAATGAACAGAGGTAACTATGTGTGATTGTCAGTGTGAGTGTGACTGTGTATGTGTGTGTGTGTGTGTGTGACTCTCTGCCTGTGTGTGTGTGTGTGTGTGTGTGTGTATGGATGTCTGCCTCTGTGTTTGTGTGTGTGTGACTGTCTGCCTGTGTGTGTGTCTGTGTGTATGTATGACTGTCTGCCTGTGTGTGTGTATGACTGTCTGCCTGTGTGTGTGTGACTGTCTGCCTGTGTGTGTGTGTGACTGTCTGCCTGTGTGTGTGTGTGTGTGTATGACTGTCTGCTGTGTGTGTGGATGTGTGTGTGTTTATAACTGTCTGCTGTGTGTGTAGATGTGTGTGTGTTTATAACTGTCTGCCTGTGTGTGTTTGTTTGTTTGTGTGGCTGTCTGCCTGTGTATGTTTGTGTGGCTGTCTGCCTGTGTGTGTGTGACTGCCTGCCTGTGTGTGTGTGTGTGTGGATGTCTTCCTGTGTGTGTATGGCCGTCTGCCTCTGTGTGTGTGTGTGTGTGGCTGTCTGCCTATGTGTGTATATGTGTGTGGCTGCCTGCCTGTGTGTGTATGTGTGTGGCTGCCTGTGCATCATTACAAATATCACACACAGCCAACACATAGCATAAATATCACACAGTCCTCACACCTATCACATACACAGACAACACAAACATTACATCATACATGAATGACGGGGGTGGGGGAGGGGCACTGAAAAGACATACAGATGTTTGCACAGGGCGCTTAAAGGCATAAGGCTGATCCTGCTGGTTGTCCTCATGCATAGCGTGAGGACATCCTGCATTAATTAGGCAACTTAAAGTCGCCTAACGACCTCTTAGTCCCTCTAATGAAAGCCACTAGAGGTGAAGTTAACTTTGGCAGGTAATTGTTGCAGTTTATTAAAATCTGCAATAATTACCACTGCTGGGTTAGAGGACCTGGGACACTGCACCTAAACCACTTCAATGGACTGAAGTGGTCTGGGTGCCTATTGTGTCCCTTTTTGTTTGTTTATGCAGCTCTAGCAACTGACACAACCAGAATAACAAATGGCTTCATATTCAATCAGATACTAACTTGCTTTACAACAGAAGTTATCTCCTGCTCTGTAGACTGAACTTTAATCACACACAGGAGGTTCATGTAGGCTCTGCAAGGCTATTAACAGGGCAGGCGATAAGACATTCTAGATTAAACAGACTGTGCAATAAAGCCAGAATATCTAATTTCCTTTTCAGGAAGTGTTTAGGAAAGCTGTATAAGGCTGTATAAGTCACATGTGCTGAGGTTTGACTAGGGCTGTGTATACACAGTGATTTAACTCCTAAATGAGAATTGAAAAAGAAACTGTTTCTTTAAGCTAAATTTGTTTTGGTGCCTTTAGTATCCCTTTAAGCAGCTGCAGGATAAAAGCACTGTTTGCCTGCAGTGCTAAATCACTCTTCAGCTAATAAGAGCAATCATTCAATAAGTGGTTGGAGCGGGGTCTAGCAATATATGGAATGGTCTTCATGCAGAACAAGCTTTAGCCTGACATTGAAACTGTATGTCTTTTCAAAGGCCAACCATGTGCTATCAAGATCTTACGGACTGAATAAAGTCGTAGTGGCGACATAATGTGCGTTATATTCAAAGAGTATTGTATTCACTTTTTAATGCTTTTCCCCCCCTCCCCCCTTTTCTTTTTTTTTGACCATGCGTAATACATTACAGAATGCAAAAAAAGTAAAGTAGCTAATGCAGATGGCATGATGTGACAAATACAGTTAGCTTATATACTCCTGGATAGTCTGTCATTTTTCTTTTTATGGAAATTAAATATGCTAGTATTATTGGGAACAACAAGTTATACCATATAGAAATGCTCAACAATTAACAGGTAATTCAGCACAGTTTAGAACGTAAAATAAAAGATTGAAACGAACACAGTACCAGGTAAATTAAAAAGTAGGCTATTCAATATGCATGCTCCATGTACTGTGAATGGTTATTATAATGCACTTAGTGGATTAATATAAGTAGCATTAAACATCGGGCATAGTATGCATTATAGAAAGAGAATTGTGGAAGCGGGCTAATAACCATGCTAAGGAAACCACCCGCTCCCGGGGAAAGTAAGAATAAGAATATTTTTAGAAAATGAGCGTGTCAGCAAAGTTAGAGCATAGTTGGGAATATTAATTCGGACAGTTCAGGTAAAGTCACATAAGTATATGTAAGCTCATGGCTGGGAGCGTTTTCTGGTAAGTACGGTGGACCAGAGAATCAACAGTCAGCTGATACCCATGCTGGGAAGGAAGACACCTTGAACCAGGGGTTTCCACAGGAGGATGGCAGGGCCAGACTGGCCCACCGGGATACCGGGAAATTTCCCGGTGGGCCGTCGGCACCTGGGGCCGGGCAGGCAGCTGGCTCTTCTGGCGGCCGCAGAAGGAGCTCTTTTGGCGGCCGCAGGGGGAGCTGGCTGTTCTGTCTCTGCTCCCCCTCCCCAGCGCGCCGCTTAATGAGACCGGGGCCGGAATATGACATCATATTCCGGCCCCGGTCTCATTACGCAGTGCGAGGGCGGGGGAGCAGAGACAGAACAGCCAGCTCCCCCTGCGGCCACCAAAAGAGCTCCCTCTGCGGCCGCCAGAAGAGCCAGCTCCCCCATGCGGCCGCCATCAGAGCTCCCCATGCCAGCACACAGGTAGCAATCCTGTGTGTGTGTCTGTGTCATTTGTGTGTGTGTCTGTCATGTTGTGTCTGTCTATGTCATGGTGTGTGTGTGTCTCTGTCTGTGTCATGGTGTGTGTTTGTGTCTGTCTGTGTCATGCAATGTGTGTCTGTGTCATAGTGTGTGTGTCTCTGTCTGCCATGGTGTGTGCGTCTGTCTGTGTCATGCAATGTGTGTCTGTGTCATTGTGTGTGTGTGTGTCTGTCATGTAATGTGTGTGTCTGTGTCACGGTCTGTCTGTGTCATGGTGTGTGTGTGTGTGTTTGTCATGGTGTGTGTGTGTCTGTATGTCATGGTGTGTGTTTGTGTCTGTCTGTGTCATGTAATGTGTGTCTGTGTGTCACGGTGTGTGTGTCTGTGTCACGGTCTCTCTGTGTCGTGGTGTGTGTGTGTCTGTGTGTCATGGTGTGTGTCTGTCTGTGTCATGTAATGTGTGTCTGTGTCACGGTGTGTGTGTGTGTCTGTGTCACAGTCTGTCCATATTATGGTGTGTGTGTGTCAAGGTGTGTGTGTGTCTTTTTTAAGGTGTGTGTCTGTCATGGTATGTGTGTGTCTCTGTCATGGTGTGTGTGTGTCTGTATCACAGTCTGTCCATATTATGGTGTGTGTGTGTCTTTTTTAAGGTGTGTGTCTGTCATGGTATGTGTGTGTCTCTGTCATGGTGTGTGTGTGTGTGTCTGTCTGTGTCATGTGTGTCTGTCTGTCATGGTGTGTCTGTGTTTCTGTCTGTGTTTCTGTTTGTGTCACAGTGTGTGTGTGTCTGTGTCACAGTCTGTCTGTGTCATGGTGTGTGTCTGTCATGGTATGCGTGTGTGTATGTGTGTTTCTACTCACCTTTTTTTTCCCCCCACGTTGTGCTGGTCTCCCCTCGACTGGCCCTGCCTCTACGGCTGAGATCATCAAGCTTGATGATCTCAGCCAATCCGCACTGACACAGGAAGCACCTCTAGTGACCGTCTGAGTGTCTGTCACTCTAAAAAGTCAGTGTTTACATTGAAAAGCCTGCAGGGACAGGCTATAGACACCAGAGCCACTACATTAAGCTGTGTGTGTGCGCGCGTGCTAGTGTGTGGGCTTGCTTGTGTGTGCGTGTGTGTGTGTGTGTGTGCCTGCTACTGAGTGAGAAAAATTAAGCAATGAGTAAGTGCAAAAGGCACTTATTTGGGCAATTTTCAGTGACAGGTAAGCAGCTTTTATTATCCTCTTTGTTTAAGGAGTAAAAAAAACAAATTTGGAATACATCTTTTTTTCCGGGTAATATTACCAATTTGGTATATATTTAGTTATTATTGGATAAAATTGTAGAGAAAATAAAGGTGCAATAATAGAAGAAAAAGGAAACAAATCACTATTATATAAAGCTGGGAGTAATGGTTTTGTACATTAGAAAATGTTGCATTCTCACAAAAGTGACGCAAATCTGCAAGTGAATGCAACATTTTCTGTAAATAACCCCCAAAAACTCACACAATTGCTCCACAGCCACCATAAATAATATATTTTGGGAGGGGTCTCTACTAAACATGTAGGCCAAGTTTCAGCCGGAAAATGCATGAAAACGTTAAGGCACAGTTGACCTTTCACACCCAGTTTCCAAACCACATGAAAGCCAGTTTATAAAATCAGTTAACCATCCAATTAAAGCAAACGCAGCTTGTACGCCATTATCTCGAACAGTCTTTGTGTATTAGTTATGACTATGACCATAACTATTATTGGAATAACCTCTTTTCTGTGGCTTTTCTCTTGCTGTGTATTGCTTATCTCACATAGAGAGTGACACCAACGGTATATTTCAGTCATGGCTAAAATAAAAACATCATCACAGGCTTTTACAGACATTTTGTGGTAAGATGGTAACATGAAATAAGTCAAAATACTCACTAACTAGTGTAACCCTGCTTCCATGACAATTCGTAAAGGAGATCATGAAAACGATGCCATTGATTCACTAAATGTCATTGCTGTTTCCACAGCTTTATTATGGCGTAAATGCTATGCCTAGTGAGACCAGGAACGTGGTCTCACCAGGCAAGCGCCACCATTAAAATGAACCCTTTCAGTACTGCAATGCACTGTGTCAATGTGCTTTACCCCTTTGTATAACTGTGAAAGTAAAAGTGAAAAGTAAAATAAGTTACATATGCTGAGCACGAGACTCTTGGGCCCATTATAAAAAAGATATTGGTCTCCAATGTGCCCAGGAGATGCTCAGTCACATAGCCCCTTTATTAATTATAAAATGAGCAGAGTAAATGCCTAGTCTACTTGGCCTTTTGTAAAATAGAAATGTATTATTAATGGAGAGAACGGATTCTATCGCTGATTGGGTAATGTTGCTGATTACAACTATATTTGTCAGGCTTGCGCCTATGCTTTCTGAGCACTTGTGGAATGAAATGGGTCTGAGGGCTGAGGCAAGTTATACTGTCTCCAGCTTGCCACAAATAATAGTATATATATGACAGATCTTTAAAGATCTCTAAGCATCATGACAACTTCAATATTTTGACTGTATGCAAAGCATGGGAGCCTCATTAGCCAGCCTTTAACAAACGTTACAGGCTGACTAATGCCAATTTTGTGTATATTGAATATCTGTCGTCAGTGCACACTGCATGCTGGTGACAGGTGTCCAATGGTCCATCACACACAACTGCTGGCAACTACGGATGCATGCACTCGCTATCCACAATAGAAAAAAGCTTAATAATGAACTTAATGTTAAAATTAAAACTTGGCATTGGAGCAATCTGTTTATTGCCCATTATTATTGCTGTTATGCTTTCAGTTTTGCCTTTACTATGTCTGTACTCTTGTAACATGCGCTATTCTATTGTGAAATTCTTGTTCTGGTATGCATTTAAAAACAAACAAACAAAACAACTACCATTGTATCTTATTAAAAATGTGGGTGAAGGGTATACACTGAAATACAATCACAGACATAAAATCACTGCGTCTACTTATTTAAAAAAAGTTAAAATAAACAAAATGTGTGTGGGTATGTGTATATGTGTATTTATATATATATCATTTTTTGTGATAAATACTGCATATACTGTATATGTAGTAGGTTAGATATTCATAAATAGTAAATAGTTCTATTTTATGAATATCTTTACATATTAAACACATTTATTAACAGCTCATTATCTGATTGATAAATAAGTACAAGAATAACATTTGGAACAATTATATTTCTGATTATCTTTTTATTTTCAAGTAAGACTGGAGTATGTCCTCTCTCTCGCTGCTTAGATAATTAATACTTCATTGCTATTAATGTCAGTTTCATCGAACCAGGACAGCAATGATTGGCTAACCTGCCTCTTTCAGTCAATCACCACTATCCATAGTTTGGCCTCAATTGACACTGCTAATGTGGAATGGTAAACTCTGCAGTATGAATGCAGGTGATAAAATGTAATATTGCAACTATATTATGTAACTAGCTAAGTTAAAACAAATAAGTGATGAGTATTTCACCACTTAGAATTAAATTAGTTTATCAGTATAGAGAATGATCATATTGTGTCTTGAATATATGTATATTATTTTAGTCCTTTACATAGCACTGCTGCTACTAGAAAATGTGTATTCAACATTTTAACCAGAAATAGTACATTTAGCAATAGTTTACTTTGCCGGGAGCCAAGCATTAGACTCAAAGATAACACAGCTATAGCTTTAATTACTGAGCTATCTCATATATTGTTAAATTGTACATCTATGCAAATTCCAGATTTGAAAATTAGATTTATATAACATTTAAATGACAGTTTATAGGAATTTTCATTCCTAAACAAAGATAGTAGGCTCAACAAGCGTTTCTAGTTAAGATATCACTTGCCTGTATGTAGCCAATTAGAAATTAGATTTTTTTTAAAGCAATACAATAATAGAAACCTACCGTGTCTGATAGTTATTGTGATTAACAGTGTCAGCACCGTAATGCCCATCCTGCTTTAGATGAGTGCCCTCTGTACTGTACTCCTGGAGACAAGCTTTCTCAGTTGTGTCCTCCCAGACAGATCTTTTCGTTTTGGAAGATTAGGAAGTTAAAGTTTTACAGATACAGCTGGTGTAGGACTTCGCTTCTGCTTTTTTACGTATAGCCACAAATACGATACATTTAAATTGCGCAACGCAGCCAAGATGTCAATACAACCAATGTTACACAGAAACTTGATGTTCCCTGTGCAGATAGTACTAATGATTTAGATTACAGTGACACTGCAGCACCTAAATGGTCAGATGTGAGAAAATACTGTGTATATGTCAATTAATTAATTAAAAGCAATTAAAGGGACATTATAATCACAAGAACCATTACGCTGTAGAGCTTACTGTAGTTGTTCTGGTGTCTATACCCTGTCCCTACATGCTTCTTAAAGAGAAAAGATAGTGTTTACATTACTGCAGTCACTCAGTCACTAGAGGTGCTTCCAATGTCAATGCTGCACAACGTGCAGCATCTATGATTAGTGTCTCCACACTCTTTATGGAGAAATTGAGCACTCCCCACAAAGATGCATTGATTCAATGTATCTCTATGAGGAGATGCTGATTGCTGCAGTGCAACACTTTGCTGCGCAACAGTCTCCCAATGCTTTCCTATAGAGAAATATTGGATTGGCTGAGATCATCAAGACTGGTACAGCGAAAGAGAAAAGTTTAAACACTTTGAGGGGGGCCCAGACACCTAAACAGCCACTTCAGCACTATACTGTTAGGAAGGCATGTTTGTATTCCCAACAATGTTGTGTTCCTTTAATGCATGGCTAGGTTCATACTTCCTTGTTTCTTAGTGTTTTTTGTCTTCTTTGAGAGACTCCATATTTGAGAGACTCCATATGACAATAGACCCTTTCACCTTTGTATTATTTTTATTAAATAGTATCAATGCTTACACATTTGCAAAGACAGAAAGTGTGTATTGTCTAGGTAGTCTACTGAGGATAGATCAGTGGGCTGAAGAATAGAACAGAATAATTAGAACCTCATTAGAGGTTGATACAATCTCAACTTGCACATCTAATTCATCAAAATATTTACTAATTATTCTGTAATCATTGACACTAGCATAACTACACCTTTTTAACAAATACGGTGATCTATATGCAACTGATTTCCACCAGCTTTTTAAAAGATGCAGAGACTAATTTTCTATTTTTTGTTTGCTATGTTAACCAGTTTGGTATAATTTCTGTCTATGTGCTGCAGCACAAGATAAAACAATCAGCAACTACATAAGTAACCAGTGTTTTATTCAACCTAAGCATAATTACTTGGTTACACAGAAATATGAATTTTCATTAACAAGAGTTATGGGATCCCCTTCTAAATTAAGCATTTTGATTACAGATCCTTTTAACATTTTAACACAATTTTAATTATGTCCTGTTAAAAAGAGCTCCAGTAGTTTCAATCAATAATTATTTGAACAAGGCTTTAAAGGACCACTATAGGCACACAGACCACTTCAGCTCAATGAAGTGGTCTGGGTGCCAGGTCTATTTAGTGTTAACCCTGCAGCTGTAAACATAGCAGTTTCAGAGAAACTATGTTTACACTAGGTTTAATCCAGCCTCTAGTGGCTGTCTCATTGACAGCCGCTAGAGGCGCTTCTCACTGTGAAAATCACAGTAAGAAGACGATGAAATCCATAGGAAAGCATTGAGAAATGCTTTCCTATGGACTGATTGAATGCGCGTGTGACTCTTGCAGTGCATTAACATTCTGCGAATGACGTTGGAAGAGGGAGGATTCTCCAGCGCCGAGGGAGCCCGGCGCTGGAGAAAGGTAAGCGTTTAACCCCTTCCTCAGAGTTTGTTTTCCTGGCACTATAGTGGTCCTTTAAATTTCAAGTCTAATACTAGACAGATCTAAAAGTTATTGGCCACTGCAAGGTGTGAATGCCTTCTTGCCAGGGTTAAATTTACACTAGCCAATGGTGAGTGGGAATTTGAGTCTTGATCTGATTTTCCTTTAATAGATTGAATGTGCTATAGTAAGGCAAACCACTGTGTGTATTCACTAAATTGCATATTGTAGCTCCATTGCAAGACACAAATACATTGGGGCAGGACAGGTTGCTTTTAGGAGCTCACTACCACCTGGGTATCAGCAAATTCCAACTAAATTTTCAGGAGCCCCAATGTGATTGTACAGACTCCGCTACTGATGAACCTTTCCAAGTTCAAAGCTGTGCCCACCCAAGCAGCATCTTGTTTTATTTTAAAGTACCTGAAATGCTGATATGTTTTGTTACTATAACAAATGATAAAAAGAAGAAAAACAAGAGATGCAAACAGTATAAAATATTTTAATTAAAATCTTTCTCTTATAAAAATACAAAAACGCATGCAGCATTAAAATAATATATCCTTCATAAGTGTATCCTTCATAAAACAATATCATAATAGAAAACAAATGTGTAAACCCACTTTCTCATATTTTTGGTACCATACAATTTTTAAATTACATTGCATTGTAGCTATCTAGGTGACAAAATCCAGAACTCCTGTTTTTTGTTTTGTTTTTTTCTACAGGAATGCAAAATAAGGACTACTGGTTAAGATATGCTATAGGTGCAACAATCAATTTTTCAGATTAGGCCTGGGCGAAAACGATTTGAAAGAAAAAAATGAAAAAAGCTGTACTTGTATCTTTTCTTCTTAATTGAATTACCATGATATATTTTGCAGTAAATTTTAGCATAACATTGTACCATCTTCCCTCTGTTTGTTTTTGTTTTATTCTGTAACTTACAGGCACTTTGAGGATTGCCACCTCTTAACTCCTTAAGGTCACATGACATGTGTGACATGTCATGATTCCCTTTTATGCCAGAAGTTTGGTCCTTAAGGGGTTAATGAGAACTTACTTTGGTCTATGATGCACTAAAAATGTTATTCACTAATTCATGAATTGTTAAGAATTCACAAATTGCAAATTGTTGGCTGAAATAGTCAACTTGAATTAATTTCCCACCCAGCTACACTTCTGGCTCAGCTATTCTGGTCTTAAAATTTAAATTCCCTGAATTAACAAAAATGTATGGGATAGTGAATTGTTTGTGGTGATCTCTCTTCCAGACACTTTATTGTTTATGTAGGAATGACAAATGATGCAGTGTCTGTTATTTGTACCTTGAGGATGGATAATTCTGTACTTCAGTACTGTACATTGACATAGATCACACTTTGTGTCCAAACGACTGGTATATGGACCAGTAGATTTGGCCCTCCCTGATCCCACTTTCACTCATGTAGGTTTTCATTAGAGTTCCCATAAAAGACAAAAAGTAGTAGCTGCAGAATTTTATGTTTTCGCTCAGCCCTAATCCCAACATGAACAGCCAATGACTGTACCCAGTGACTAATCATTCTCATTTCATGCTATTGGCGTCTTATTAGCCCTAACAAGGTTGGTACCGGCCAGCCGGTAAATTACAGATTACATAACTCTAAATCTTTCCTAGTGACGCTATAGCACAAAACCTATTAACATCATTCAAAATTTAGAAAATAATGTCCTGCATTCTCATTAATTCCAAAGATTTTGTGTCCACTTGTCATCCTTCATTAATGCTTAAAACACATATTAAGCTTATGTTTAATCCATGAGAAGCTTAAATAGGAAAGATATAGAAGATTCCATACAATAAAAAAAAAAGCAATACAAAACAAACATAACAAAAATATGCTTTGATTTAATATTGTTGGATAAGCTTTTCAAATGATTCAATATATTTGTATAAACTTTTAAAATAGGATTAATATATTGGGGTAATTTGATATTTTTTTTAATAAATGGTATATATTTTTATGGAGAGCAAAAAACAAGGTGTAAGAGTGTACTGAGAACAGACAGCAGCTTAAATAGCCTGCCCTTCGGTGGGTCCCGCTCAGATCTCAAGTTGATTTTAGCTCATCTTGTGCCATTACAGAGAGAACATCTCTGAAACATATCAGACTGGTCCCACCCATTGGAGCAGTCCAGATCCGAAATGCCAGCAAGTTCCCTCTGCACGAGAGACACAGAAACCCCAGACAATCGTTTCAACCTTGTTAGGTATCATCAGTGAGGCATAGCTGATATCTCTCTAGGCACTGTAAGCAAGGAGTCCACGTCTGGATTACCCTTTAAACTTACGGAGAGCAAAAAACAAGGCGCAGGAGTGTACTAAGAACATGCAGCAGCTGAAATAGCCTGCCCTTCGGTGGGTCCCCGCTCAGATCTCAAGCTGGTTTTAGCTTATCTTGTGCCATTACAGAGAACACATATGTTTGGTATATCTTTGTATATTTTGAAAAAAGATTATTTTAAGGATCTTTTTCAAACATTAAATTTGAAAAGCGCATCCAAAAATATTAAATCAAGGCATTAATACTTAACAAAACCAGTTGCATATACCTTAACATCTAGAATCCAGAATGTACTTGGAAACTAACAACTAGTTAAATACCTTGATATTATTATTTCAATGAAAGCTTAAAATAACACATAACAGTGATTTTATATAAAAAGGTTAATGTCTTATTTCAAAGGAAGCACGTGAAGCAACTTATGGTTTTATAAAAGGCCTAGTGCTCGGCCATATTTATCACCATGGTACAAATTGTCTTGTAATTACCCGAGAAGATAGTTATTGCGGAAACATCGGCACTCCTTAACATTTGAATTGCAGTTAAGAATTTTGGCTGAGCATCATGGGAAATGCAGCTCACAAGTCCCAATGCCAAAGCCTAGTCATTACTAGAGAATGCTGAAGACTCCTATTTCTGCTGTGTTGGAGGTGTTTGCATCAGAGCGCTATATATTTTTACTGATGCAAATTCCCATAACATGTAAGTGCGTAACATTGTATTCCTTTGTTTGTTAGTTGATCAATGGAAACAAAGGAAATTTCTAATTTTCGTGAAAGGAAAAAAATCTCCCCAGAAATCCTTTCTTCTTTTAGCCATCATTGGGCACTAAGGTGAAAATAGGTCAAACTTTGAAGACCAGCCAGTGAAACTCATCACTTTGAGACAAGTTCGGCAGGACTTCTACTAACAGCTATCCATAAGCAGCTGAAATTGGTATGTGCAAACAGCAAACACGGCTCCAAATAGTTATACAACCAACTGAACTCTAA